GTCATAATAGCTAGTTAGATGAAAAACTAGAAAAGCTTTCCATGCTTTTTTCAAGAAAAATTTCCCTTCGAAAGAAGAAAATTCGGATGGCGGAAAAATTTTGGGAAGAAAATTTTCTTCTCTAGCAAAACAAAGGGAAAAATATGAAAACTTAAAGGATGAAGCACTTCCAAATAGTGAACACACGCCAAAGTCTAACAAGCTTTAAGAGTTTAACACATACATATTGAATATCCACAACATCAAATATGGTATTTGGTAACCACTTTCTCTGAACAAATATTTAACAGAGGGAAAAGAAGAAGACAAAGCAGCATATTTTGCTTGGACCATGGAACTACAAAAATAAAGGGGAAGAGTAAAATCAAGAATATAAAATAAAAAAAAAACATAAAGCATGCATGAAAATCAACCGGAACAATAATAACAGCCACAAAAGTTAAGAACCCAAAGAAGCAAACCTGAGAAATCAAGCTTGATGCAAAAAATATATGAGACGGTATCAGCAACCAGCGCCTGAAAGCCTGTAAACACGTGCCAGAATTTACATATGGTTTTGTTTTTGTGGAAGACAATATAAAGAACTTCATATAAGTGACCAGCAAATAGCATGGGTTTGTATTCACCTGTGGAAAATAAATTGCTGCCAGTATTGAAACGACATAGTTCATCAGCAAAATTCCAGAACCAAGGAAAGCAATATTTTGAACTCCTAGTTTGGTAGCAAAGGTTGAGATCTGATACCTAAAATAGTTATTACATTCAATTCATCATTAGATGAACGGTGAAATCACTAACAGAGGGTGAATATGCATTAAATACACACATGCATGCACACCTAAGTAAATCTATATAATATAGAAATTCTAACAAGTGAAGCTACTCATGAGTCAGGACCTCATTTTCCAAACCCTATGCAATGCACAAAATCCACCCCAGTTAAAAGAAAGTAGTGTCTTACAAAAAGGAAAAAAAGGGTACTGTATCTACAACTCAGCTAATCGAGATAAATAGATTATAGGTCTGCAACATTAAGCCAACTTTATCTGAAAACTTACTTGCGATCCCCTTCAACATCTGGAAGATCTTTTGTTATAGCAATTACCAGTGCAAACAATGTTACAAAGGTTGTGATGAAAACCACAGGAGAGCTGCAAGGAGAGATACATAAATAAACACACGATAAGTTGCAATAATGAAAAAAAATTCAATGAAAAGCTAATGTCATCCTGAATTTGGCATAATAGGGAAGCATAGCTTTACTTGGAAAACACAAAAGACTGACTCAACCATTTCAAGGTAGAAACTTTCATAGTTGGTGTCACGCATTAAGGGAATCTGACTTCCACAGTTACTTCTTTTAATTTGTAACCTTTTTTATTGGAACACCATAAATTCATAACAACCGTAGTCTTCAGGAAGCCCGATGTTCAACTAATATTGTTCACATTACCTAGTTAGAAATATGAAGTTACAAATGCTAAACTCTAACAAACCTCCATTGAAAGGTAAGTCCAAGAGCAGCTCTAGTAGCATAATACACACCAAAGTTAAGAAGGAAACCCCGTACCTGCACATGCTGCTTCTGTCAATCTTTGTGCAATAGTAAGAACTTATGAACAAAAAATGAATTCAACTAAAGAATTGCAACTAAGTCAACGCAGGATCCATTTTATTTTTTTAAGAAAAATCAATAAATCAACACTTAGAACATGCAAAGATTGAGGGGAAAGGAGAATAATTCTCACCGTGGCAATAATAAGAAATGCTGCCACAGGAAACCTTTTCATTCTAAAAGGAGGAACAGAATATATGGTGCCAAGAAGAAGGCCAAGAGTGTAAAGAGAAAAAATAAAAGGCCCAAAGTTCAATCCAACTATCAACAACCCCGCTGCAGCAAAAAATATCACCAACAACCATGCAGATTGAACTGAAAGATCTCCCGCGGCTATAGGTAAATAGGGTTTGTTTACCCTGAAAACAAACATAAAGTTAGCTTAGATTCATTTAGCAAGGAGGAAAGTCAGCAGGCAACATGAAAAAGTTCAAATCCAAGAAACGGAATCTCAAAATGCAAATGTCCTGGAGTTGGTGCAATAAAAAATATATTGCAACTTAGCAATAGATAAGCAATGACCAGGAAATAAAAAGATAGGAAGAGGACAAACTGTATACGTCTGCATCATACTTGTCAATACTAATGTCATAAATTTGATTGATGCCAACTATATAACCATTCCCACATATTAAGGCAAAAAGACCCGAGAATGCCTTGAGCAGAAGTGACCACTTTATCAAATTTGAATTCTCGATCAATGCTCTTGCTACCAAAGCACTGTAGGGACAAAAAGTGAAAATGAAAATAAGCATGCTTGCCATGAAGTAGCAAAAAAAATCCAAAAAACAAAAAAAAGAATTGCATCAAGGTTTGATGTTACTCACACAGAACCTAATGCTGTACCCCGTATAGTATGGGGTCGTAAAAATCTCCAACATGCATCTTTGAAAGCTGAAACTCTGTCAGCAATTGGATGGTCAGGTCCAACAGCTCCAGCTTGACTGCAGGCCTGGGAGCATTCGGTTTAACAAAAGTGATACAAAATATTCACAAGAGAACGGCGATAAAACAGACTCAAGTCACATATATCAAAATCAAAAGTTCATTAAAAAAAAAAAACCAGTTCTTTGAAACCAATACAAACATTTAGAAGCCAAGGGCAAGTCGAACAAAAATATATGCTAGGATGAACACTTATGTGCTTTATTATTTTAAATGAATATTTTAAGCGCATCCGCAATTTCCTCAAAATGAATTAAAAAAAAAAACCACAGTAAATATAAAGACACGCTTGTTGGCAGCACTCAGGATAAGTGTGTGAGTGACAATCTTAAATTCCCTAACACTATAGTCATCCCCCAATTATTATTTTTCACTTCGTTCTGATTGCCTCGTCATTGCCACCTCAATGTATCATGCGATCAGACCTGCGCCACCACTGCAAACACCATACTGCCACCGTTACCAACTTCGCCAGTTAGATTGTCATCTATGATCTTAGATATTATCATTGCAATCAGTAACTTCACTGTTGCAATGTTATAACGACAATCACCAGGCGGTCCAGGCCCATCATCAGATACAACACTCACAGTTATCGCCCTACCGCAGTGTACTAGTATTAATCTTCCACCCGTTAGGAAAGTTCTGCGCCACTGCGACAGTCAGTGTCAATGATCATCATCTTGCCATGCCGTAGGTTCTTAAGTACTTATCCTGCACCGCAACTTAACACTTGCATTTGTCGCATTACCCGCTCAACAACCAGACTTCAACTGTCAACATTATCTTCGTCGATGCACCCTTCATCGCAAGTCCATAATAGTACTACCACTGTTAGTCTGTTATTACAAGTTGCTTCCCTAAGAAACATATGTTCCAAACTATATCATTTCCTAATCAAAGCATGTCAAGACTAAATAGAGTGTCTGTACGCGAACTACTGATAAGCAAAACTGGCGGCGCCAATAATGGAAACTCAACTTGACTACATAGCGTCGTCGGCCCAATGATATTGTGTTCCTGGTCATCCTTGGCTTGGACCTCACTTTGTAACGAAATGCCTACCAAAACCCGAGTATGTGCACCAAAGCACAGATGGTTGAAACGAAATTATAGTAGGATGCAGAAAGAAATACAAACCCTGATGGAATTGGCTCTCTGTTGTCTCTTCGAAACAGGCTTAGAACAGCTTGTGCAATCGAATAGGCCAACCGAGTGCGAGATCCTGGAAAATCCTAAGAACAAATTGGAGGATATAGGTCTTGCCTGACACGGTGTTTTCATGCGATACGAAGAATTCCGCCTGGGAACTATAGCAGGAACCCGAATTGAAGTGGAGGAAGATGAAAGCTCCATGCGGAGCAGGGGATAGAAACACTCAGGTACCGAGGCAGAGCAAACGGCAAAATAGTTGTGGCGGTTAGCAACAACCACGCAAGACAAGTGCGGCCATTGAATCTTGGGTTGGGTTACTCTTTGCCCGCGCTTTAAAATATCGCTACGCAGGTAATGCACCAGGCTAGATTGTAGACTAGAGTGTGAGCTTGCGCCTCACAGGATAATGACTTTACCAGCTAATACAAACCGCCAAAAGATAAATTATATATAAATAGCGTTAAATTGATTTCATTATTTTACTTTAAAATTTTAAACTAAACTAATAAACTCAATTTAAAATAAAGTATAATTAACTGTTTTAAAAAAATAGTAACTATATCTAAAAAGATAAATATATAATATTATGAAGTTAGGAACTAAAATTTTAAGTAGTTAACATTAGGGAGATTGAATTGTGATGATTTAAATTTGGAGATTGAGTTGCAACTTTATCAAAAATATAAAGATTGAGTCATGCTGAGTGAAAATTTAGAACATGAAATGTAACCAAGTTAAAAATATAAGACAAAAAGATTAGTTTTTTTTTTTCAAAATGTTATAACCCAATTGAAATTTAAAATCGTATCCAAATACTACTACCAATTAAAATTCTAAGTCAAACTTAAAAAATAAACTTTGCATGATTTGAGACTTAATTGTAAAATATGAAATATTAATTCTAAGTCAAGAACTAGAAACTATAAACTATTAGCATTGTTTACTCCAAAAATTCCAATTTCTATAGAAAAAAATCCCATAATTAATCAGTTAACCAAATAATAGATATTAGTTCTATTTAAACTCAAAATAAAATATATAAAAAACATACTTTATTATTTTCTATTTTTCCTAAAAAATTTATGAATTTCTGCTCACTTTCTAAATTACAAGTCAACTCTTTGCAATAAATATTTTATTTTCTCCTAAAGAAACATAAATTTCCGGGCTAAATCCAAAAGGGGATCGGCCCATTAAAAAAATGGAACGCTACCCTCGGCATGAGGGCAAAATCGTAATTTGAAAAAACTGGTCCTTATAAATACCCAGTAGGGTTTCTTGGCACTAGTTTTGTATCCGGGTGAGATCAGTGTTGCGCCGCTCGCATCTTTGTGCATCTAGCCCCCTTCGCCTTTAGTTGGACCAGGTGTGTTACGAGTCCTGTTACTAATGTTTTTGTGAAATTTTATTTGCAACTCTAATCTTAATGTGATTGTTCATCAGGCCCTTCCAATGTCTGGTTTTTGAACCTTGCATGTGCTGTCTCTCTCTGATTATACTATTAAATCTCTTGAAAGTTTGTGGGTCGTTCTCTGTGGAAAGCGATTTCTGTTTGAGTGGCATCATTTTTTTCTACGTTGGATATGCGAATGTGCTCGCTTTCGGTTAGGGTTACGCGGGTGTCGGTGAAATTAAGTAAATAAAAAGGAAAATCTTCTAACCCTGGAGGCACATAATAAAATAAATTGAATGCTTGAATGAATTATGGCATGTTTTATTGAGTTGTGGATATCTGAGATGTACTTGATATTTCAGAGTCAACTAACAGTGTCAATAAAAGGGAGGAAGATTCTTTGCTAAACAGATGTTTGCCATGGATCATGTCTACTTTTCTGTTGTGTAGATTGTCTTTTTTATAATAAATATTTACTGAGGTTTTGTATCGTAAAATGGATGTTCAATTGCTGGTGGTTGTTTGCTTTAATGTTTAGACGTTAAGACTGATTTCTTCTATTATAGTTTAATGAGCTTCCATGTTTATGTCAAGTCCCAACGTACTGCTGACATCAGTTCAGTCCTCTTGTAAGGACTCCTGTCGGTTCTCACATTAACTGTTAATTAGGGGGAACCATAGGTGTTTTTGTTGGAAATTAGTTTTGTTCTCCTGTTCTTTGGATGTCTTAGTCAGCTGTCGAATGTGTTATTCTGAATTTTGATGTTAGAAGAGCCTTGATTTAATAGTTTTGGTTTGTGACATGTCCTTACACTTTCATATTTTCACACGTCTAATGTGTCGGGCAGGATGGAGTCTCAAGTGAAGCATGCCGTGGTTGTTAAAGTTATGGGTCGCACTGGTTCCAGAGGGCAGGTTACTCAGGTCAGAGTCAAGTTTTTGGATGATCACAACCGGTACATCATGAGGAATGTGAAAGGACCAGTGAGAGAAGGAGACATTCTCACCCTACTTGAATCTGAAAGAGAAGCAAGGAGGTTGCGCTAGAGAGGGTTCTTACCTGTGGTGTTTTCGTGCTTTGGATATTACAATGAATGTTTTTTTTTTTTTTGTGGTAGTGGACACTGATCATTGTAGTTTCTGCTGTCGTAATATGTGTTTCCTATGATGACTGAAGTTTTGATACCCTGTCTTTGAGCTTTAATATTGAAATGAAACACTCAAGTTTTGCTTAGTTTGTTGATTGATTTATAGGGCATTTCTCTGCTATCTTGAAACGATAAGGTTCGGTCGAGGGTGAAGTACTTTCACTGTGCTATTAAAGCAGAATTTAACCGGAGTGTTTATCTTGCTCTGTGGCTTGATCCCTAAACTTGGTTTTTGGTCTCTCATCATCGGGCTTCGTGGCGTGGTTGGTGGTCAGTCTTTCATACCCTGGTTGACAACTTTGGGAGCTTGAAATTAGTTTGATATCTCTGTATGGTGAAAATCATCTGCGGATGGAAAGTCTGTGGGAACACCAAGAAATGCCAACGGAAGAGGCGCTAAATTACACCTCGGAACATAAGTAAAAACCTAAGAATCTAATCGAATTGCGTCGAAGAATGAAATTGATCCGTAACCACACTAGCTTCATTTGGTCTTTTTTTTTTTAAATTAAAAAGGACATCAAAATAGTTTTTTAATATAATGAAGTTGGTATAATTTTTTGTTTGACGGATAAATATAATATGGTACGTATTATATTAATACGCAAGGGTGTTGGCTTTATTTATTAATAATGATAGTTTTGTTTCATTTTATTGGTTAATTTAAGGTGGAAAAAGTAAATACATGATCGATATTATTTTTACTAATTTTATAATTACAATTAATCCTTATAACGCAATAGTTGTGAAGTCCCTCCCTGTTTTTTCCACCATTTGAGAGCTCAGCCACTCAATCCTGAGTCTAAGCATTGAATGCTTGCAAAACAAAGTTATTATAAATAATAGACTATAAAGGAGATATTATAATTAGGAGCTGAGGCTAGCTGTGGTGGGTGAGTCTCCCATCGGGGATTTCTGTATACACTGAGGCTCGAACTCGAGACCTCGCTTAAACGATACTAAGCTGCTTACCACTTGGATCAATCCCGTTGGTAGTTACTACTACCTTCGGTCCTTATTATAAGACCCCGTTTGAATTTTTATTTTGTCCTAATTATAAGACCCCAATCCATTTTGTCTATCATATTTATGCATTTTTTTCCAAGATAATCCTTCTAATAATGATAGTTCTAGCCAATATACTTAATTAGCAAGGATATTTTAGGAATAACAACACTTATTTATTACAACTAACTAACTTAACTTACTTCCTTAATCTCCTCAAATAAGTCAACTGGGTCTTATAATTAAGACCGGAGGTAGTATTATTTTTTTAACTATAATTATAAAGTTATTTTCATTTTTTTTAATCATTTGAAGAAAAAAGAACTTGCGATTCCATTTCTTCCCTCGACTCTCGCCAGTGGGCACTGGGCAGTGCCTACTTCTAAAATACAACCTTGCTCGCTTCGAAGGTTACAGTGATGGAGCAACCTGGACTAAACCCTAACTCTGTTCACAAACTCTGCGAGTCCTCTTCCCCCTCGGTCGACGACGACGATGACCCACCAGTTTTGAGCTCGCAAGCCCTCGCCGCCCTCAAAGAATTTCTCGCCGAGCAGAACCACTCTGGCGCCGACTCTGATGTGGCAACTGGAGGAGACTCGGAGGTTGAATTGGTGTCCGAGGATTGGAGGATGAGCCAGTTCTGGTACAGTACAGATACCGCAAAGACGTTAGCTGAGGAGGTCATTACTCTCTGCCAAGGCACCGACCATTCTCGAGTTGCTTGCATCGCTTGCCCCACTCTTTATGCCTATCTTAAGGTAATTCTCTGTCTATAATATTAGCAGGAAGTGGCTTTAAATCTGACTTGCAAGTTGGACACTCTACAGTTTTACTATTACAATACAAGCGCTAGTTTCATTTTTAACGATATTAAATTATAATGAAAAGTAGTTCACTGTCCAATGAACAATGTGTTGATTCAAAAAAATTTTCCTTTATGTTCAGAAAATGCATCCAAATGTTTCTCTGCAACTTCTTGAGTATGACAAACGTTTTGAGCAATATGGCGGTGATTACACATATTATGATTACAACAAACCTGAAGAGTTACCTTCGGGATTGAAGAATGTCTTTAAAGTTGTAGTAGCGGATCCTCCTTACTTGGTGAGAATTTTCAGCCGAAAGTTTATTTACAGTAAATTGCTCCGCCTCTTAACCTTTTATTGCTATTATTTTTAGGCGCCCGTCAACTCTATTAAAAACAGGAAATGATTCAACAGTCGGGGGATTCATTGGTCGTTTGTATTTTTTAAAATTTTAAATTCTGAACTTCTTCTAGGTCTGCTTTTGCAATAGTTATGAATGCGTTAGACTGGATTGTAGTTATGATTCCCTGGAATTTCGATCATTATTCCTTAAATATAATTGCGAAGCTGATATGCAAGTATTGGAGGTTTCGGAATTACTAATCAGTGCTATTTCTTTTTTGATTGAGGCCGTTGTCTTACATCATAGAAAATTTTGTTTTTGCTCAGCACATGATCTCATGGGCTAGACAGACCGACAAAACAGGGTCTCTGTCATGTTCTAGCTCTGTCCATTGAATTGAGCTGCGTATACTGTACAAACTTACCTTTCCATTAGCTGATGCATCTAAAGCTGTGATATTTCTTGAAACTCTGCTGCGTGTCATTGTGAGCCATGTGAAGCTTTTGCGTATCCCTTCTTAATTACTGTTGTAGATGCGCCTTCGTTAAATGATTGAAATTTATTGTTATGCTTGTGAATAATTTTGTGTTGGTAGAGCAAAGAGTGCTTGGAGAAAGTTGCTCAAACGATTTCCTTCCTCAAACAACCGGGAGAGTCATATTTGCTTCTACTCACTGGTAAAAATGAAAATTCTCCTTTCCGCTATCTAATGTTTGATTGTGGACTGAATCACTGCGCTGAATGATTATGTAATGGTAAAAGTATTTGCATAATGAGACCTGTCAATATATTTACACTACAAAATGGGTCTTATATTTAGAACAAGAGAAGCATTATTTTTACTGAAACAATATTTGGGCCTTTGAAATTGCTGTATTCCATTTGATTGTAGGTGAAGTGCAGAGAGAAAGGGCGGCCGAGGTCCTGGGTTTGTATCCTTGTGGTTTTAGACCTCAGCACTCCAGCAAACTTGGAAATGAGTTTCGGCTGTTCACAAACTATGAGCCGGGGACGAGACTAGGCGGGTGGGAAAAATAGATACCTTCTCTTTATTGGTTTTGAACCTAAACAATTTAGGTGTGTTTAAACTCGATTGCAGCTTTGGTGGTGGAGTGATTGGACTATCTTGTCTGCCACTTAACTGCCACTTCGTGGCGACTTCTGCTGCCTCTGATTCCATGTCTCAATGATAAAACACAGTACAAAAATTTTGTGGTTTTATTAATTTTTTGGGTTGAGGCCCAACGAGATATATTTTACTTGTTCGTTTGAGTTTCTATCCGCAGTTCCCTGATGATTATGAATTATTTTTATATTATTTTATTAGCTGATAGTTGATTTATTAGAAGTAATTTTTTAGGTTCGATTTAGATTATGCTTCTTTAGGATTCAGTTTATGTTAATGTAAATAAAATATTATCCTGTACTTTAGGAATTAGGGTAATATATTTTAGATAACGATTAGTGTTACATATTATATCACTCTTTTATTATTTTACCTTCCATTCTTATACCAGAGCTCTGTATATGTAGGCCTCCGGATTCTCAAGCCTTATATATGGCCCTAGTTTTTTCAATGTACAGATATTTGCACTTTCTCTTACTCCTTTACTTTTGGTTTATTTTTCTCCCTCTCTCCCATTTCCCATCCCGGGTTTTTGATCGCTGTTTTTGTAAACAGCCGGAGTGAAAACAGAAAATGCATGATAAAGTGTCATCTAATTGCTTAATCAGGTCACATAATAAAGTGCATACAACATAAGAAATGCAAATAGGGCAATCTCTTAGTGCACATAGGACCCAACCACCTCTCATGGTTTCGTTTGCCACCTTCCCTAAAATCACAAGGGTGGTCATTGCTTGTCGCTATCGTCCGCGGGTGTTTTCACGATCAGGACTGGAGTTTTTGCATGATTAGCGCAGTAATCGCTTACACTTCCCAGAAATGTCCTACAATTCATAGTACAAATGATTGCCCCATTGTAAAAAAGGCTCAGCATCAGTTCAACCCCAACCATTAATGAATTATATATAGAGCACGAACTATGTATGGATTCAAGTTCTTGGATGAAGCTGTAGAATTAGAGTTACCTGGAAACGGGGCCGAGTCCACGGCTGCCCACAACGAGGAGATCAGCATGCACTTGTTCCGCGGCATGACAGATCATTTCCCTCGGGTCCCCTCTCAGAATCATAGTCTCTGCTTTCACCTGTACTATCTTCTTGTTAATGTCCATCAAATGATTAGAAGGGCCCAACGATATGCTCTTCAACTGTGGCCATTAATCATTTGAGCCTTACTTACCAGTTTATCCTTGCACATCTGTAATGCCCGACACAGTATGGCTCCAGACGCTTCTTCCTGAGCTCTCTTCACGGAATCCAGTGCCGCCGCCGTCGTATGAAATACTGTTCACACCAAAATTCTGTTATCTTAATCGTTAATTAACGGTAAACATCCTGTTTTCTTCTCTTCAAACTGAGAAGGATAAGAGGCTACGAACCGGTTCCACCGGCTTCAACGGGATATCCATATTCGAACAACTTGGGGTGCACGTGAACCAGGAACACCATACCCCCACTCGCAAGGGTGGCTTCAGGAGTGGCCATGGGGACAAAGAGGTTATCCAGGGCCCACTTAAGAGCATAGAAGCTACCATCACTGTCGTCGATTGCCACCACCACTTTCATCTCGATCCTCCTCTCTGCACCGTCCTTCCCTGTACCACCACTCACCTGATCACCGCCGCCAACAACCGCAGTCGCGTCCATTTCTCTTGGATAAGATTTTCTCTGTGAAACCCGAAGGAAGCCTCAAGTGAAGCTGCTCCGAACAATCGCTTTGCCACCTAGTCCTTCAGCATCACCGCCCGGACGGACCCATGAATAGCATTTTTCGCGCAGCAAAATGCTGGACGCGTGGCAGCATTTGGGCTGTGCAAATGTATCGATAGAGAATACGTGTAAACATTACTGACATTTTCTTGTCTGCTCCTGGACCCTTGCAGAACTGCCGGGGATGCAGTAGGAGATAATCTTAGAAGCTTATAAAATATCTACACACACACATGCGTGCGCGTGTGTAATGTGCTTAGTGAGGAGGTCGATTATGGGCTGCTTGTTAAATTAGCTGGAGTCTCAAAATTCAACAAGAGTTCTGTCAAACTTAATTATCCTCCTTTTCTTTCACTTGCATAACATTAGTTTGATCATGGATGCTGCGTTGCTGAAAGCGTAAACTCAGTAATTAAGAAGATGACTTAAATCTTCGATGTTGTGGAAACTGGGCAGGCTCGTGATCTTGCGCGCGCGTGTATGTGTGTGTATATACAGTGATGAGCACTGAATTTAGTTACAGGACTTTTGTTTTAACAGAGTGTAGAACAAGAGAAACTTGGAGAAATGAGTTAAACAAAAAGATGATATGTTGGAAAAAAAATATTGGGAGAATTATAATCTAAATCTAGATTTAATTATTCTAAAATTCATTGACAAATGAAGAGTACGCAATTACAAGTTTTAGAGTAGGCAATGATAATATGTTCAATATGATTATTTGTTATTCGGATTTTTTGATAATTAAATTTCTTCATTATGACTTCTTGATAATTCTTCCAAAAATATTTTCTATAGGCTATTTGGAATAGCTCGTTAAAGATATCTTATGAAAAACAAGCTTAAAAAATAGGTTTTCCTGATAAGATCTTTATGATTAACTTAATTTTTCACCCAACGTTCAAGTTTAAAAAATACTCCTTCAATTCTTAATATAAGACCCATTTAATTAATTTGATTAGATTAAGGAAGTTAGGTAAATTAGTTAATTATGAGAAATGTGACACGTTTTTTCTAAAATATCATAATCATCTTTTCTAATACCCCTCTTCCTCTTCTGCTTGATTATGATTGAGGGAGGATCCATAGGGTAATTTAGAGAAAATTGATAAATATGAGAAATGAGTCTTATATTTAGGACCAAAACTAACTCAATAATTGGATCCTATATTAAAGACTGAAAGAGTAGCTTATTAATTTTTTTTTCCAAATTCTAAACAAACTATCATGAGGTTGGCAAAAAAACAAACTATCATAAGAATAAGAAGGGGGTTAAGAGTGGGATTAACACTGCCTCTGGGAAAGCTCGAGAATGCCGCTCATGGGCCTTTAAGCAGAACTGAACTTTGGAATTTAAAACTTCAGATTCGTTTGTTAGTGGAGACAATTTTGGGTTTGGCCCAGCCAAAGTAGCAGGAAAAAAAACTAGTTCTGATAAGCTAATATTTGAATCCCCGTAAAAAAAGTGTTTACATTCAGTATTCGATCATATCTTGAACAGGATTATCTTTAATAAAAAAATACATATGCTTATCAACAAAAACGAAAAAAGCATTTGGCCCAAATGTATCGAGTTTGGGTCTACTAGGGTCAGAAGATTATAATTTACATATCCAAGGGGCAACCCGCCAACCAACCAGTGGATTACAGTGTCCTCAATTGGGGTTAGACCATCCCCGAAACAAAAACGTAGTTGACGGGAAGCATATTAACATTTAAAAAAGATATGTAGATAATACATAGAAAAGCATGTCTAGCTTCAGAAACACGGGGCCTGTTTGTTTCTATTTTTTATTTTTTTTTCCAAAACAATTTTATAAATTTGTTTTTTCAAAACAAGTTTTGGAAAAAAAAATTCTGTTTAGATAATTGTTTTAAAAAATTGCATTTGAAAATGAGTATACCAAGATCGGAAGATAAAGCTTCAATAAGAATTTAAGTTTTGAAATGAAGAGAAAACCATCAAGTGAAGAAGAAAGAATTTCCCAATTATGTCAAACAAAAAATAAAAAATGCAAGAACAAATCAAGAAAACAATTAAAAATTGTTTTGATTTTTTAGTTTTAAAAGCATATTTATTTTCAAAAAACACTTAACTAAAAACAAACTATCAAACAAGTTTTTTTTAATTCTTTGTTTAAAAAAAAAAAACAAGGCCATAAATTTTTTTTTCCAAAAAAATTTCGCCTCAGTAGAAAAAAACTCATCAATTAATTTCCGAAATTCCGACCCTTCCGACTTCATTGCTGTTCCAATATGAACATATGTCGGTAACGCTTATGCTTGGCAATGTTATTATTGCAGCGACACCAAATGAAACATAAGAACTGCTCGCCAAGCCTGTTTTCCTGAACCTCTTAACCCAAACAACACACACATTCGGCAGTATATACATACAAGCGAAGACATTTTTTTTCTTGTTTTTTCAAAGAGTTTCTGAAAGAAAAGGCTACACATGCACCGTTAATGATCCATGAGATGGCACTAGTGCTTGTGGTGAAGCTCCATGTTAGGTTTGACTATGAGGATTGGAGTTTTTGCATGATGTGCACAGTAGTCGCTCACACTTCCCAGAATTGCCCTGCCACCCATAACAATCCAGTTAAATTACATGATAATACTTACAAATCAATCATAATCAAAAATATATTAAGAGAGAGATAATTAACCTCTTGAAGGTGCCAAGGCCGCGGCTACCCATGACGAGCAGATCAACCTGCATTTTCTCTGCAGCTTGACATATCATTTCTCTTGGATCTCCATTCATAATTACACTTTCTGCCCTCACCTGCTTATTCCATATATAATCACTGTTATTCTCAGTTCTAATATTTTATTTCATGTCGAATTGATTAATTGTATGAGTTTGAGAGATTAATTAAGTAGTTACTAGCTTGTCTTTGCACATTTGCAATGCCTTGGATATTATCCTGGCTGATATCTCTTCCTGAGCTTTCTTCACTGCATCCATCACTGCAGGCGCCGCAAACGCCGCTGTTCATCCCTCCAACAATTCAAACCCCATTGAATTCTCACAATCATTACTCCCCAGAATGTAATAATAATCCTTTCTAATTACAATAACTAACACAAATTAAAGTTCCTTAGTTCAATAGCACGTCCTTGATGGAGAAGAAATGGAGAAGTGAGGGAAGAATAGGGAGAAACGAACCGGGTCCAACGGGGTAGACCGGGGGGTAAAAGGTGGGCTGAACATGAACCAGAAACAGCAAGCCTTCGTTCGGTGGGGGGTCTGGATCTGTTGCGAGAGGCCCCACGGCAGCCATGGGAGCGAAGAGGTTATCAAGGGCCCACTTGAGCGCGTAGAAGCTGCCATCACTCTCGTCAATGGCCACCACCGCCTTCATCTTCATTCCTCCTCCTACCAGATCACCGCCCCTTGTCTCCATCATCGTCCTCCTCTCTCCCACTTTACTACTCTCACAGGCTCTGCTTGCTATGACTCTTCCCCTTCAATTAGTTACTTGTTTTCGTGTCTTTCCTTCCTTCGATTCTTCTGACGCGTACGTGGCACCACCACAGCTATCCATTTACACGTGTTAGCCTTCCCCCCACATCTTACCAAAGGTTTCATCCTGCACTAAGCATAGACACGATGGATTTTTTTTTCTTCTGAAAGTGTCGAAAAATAAATTAAACCATGATTTTAAAATTTTTCTCTCGATTTATGAGAAAACGCTTTTTTTAAAGTGTTATTGATGATTATTCCCAAAAACTCCCTTAGAGCCACAATAGATTATTTCATACGGTTATTCGGTATTTATTTATGAGGGAGGGTGGAGATTTCATATCCAATATTCTTGTTTTATAAAAATGCTTTGCTTTAATAGATATGTAATTCAAAATAAATGTAATATCTTAATTATAAATTTTTAAAAAATAATTTTTTATTTAAAAATTACTATTTGAAAATTTTAAATTTAGATTATTAAATGTATCTGAATGGTTTAAGTTTTACTGTAATGATGAGTATTATGATGCTCATCGTTATAATAAACACTAAACTGATTCCTGTGTTTATGTTGCTGGTAAAAAAAGGTATGTATTTATGTTCACATGAATATAGAGTTTGATTTCTTAGTATTCTTTCTTTTTTTTTTTAACTTGAATAATATAACTATCACATTTTGCATATTTGGTATGTGCCAACTCCCCCTGGTTTTATTGACATGACAAATATAATGAGCCTTTAATTTATGTAATTATTACTATTAAGAGAGTTTTTCATTACAGGAGTGGCTTTCAATGTAAAAAATGATTTAATATGGTATATATGTTCAGAAAATTAACACACATTATTTTATAAGTAACCAATTTAATTAATTTTTTTAAAATTTTTACAAATTAATCCAATTTGTATATTTAGAGTTGGTAAATGTAATTTTTTTCTTCTCCAAATGTATCTGGTTTGGTTGAATTCCATGAAGTGCTTGGAACTTTTTTTTCTCAATACCATGAATTTTGGGCTGACTATTTTCATATGGTACGTCTAAAATGTCTTGTTACAGTTTGATTTCGATTCAAAAACCTATATATGGAATCATGTCCCATAAGGGATTGCACTGTAAGGGGTACATGTATAATAAATGTTGAGATTTCTGTTCCCATATTTGGAAAAGAGAATTAAGTAGATCAAGCATATGGCCCAACGTCGCCGGAATATGGAGATCAAGCTGCACAAATTGAAGCACAGTTTCCACAAGAAGATATCGATGAGCTTTCGAATTCCAATGATCTCGGGTAGATAGACAATGTTTTTGGGTCCCAGGAGGAGGAAATGTGCTCCAAGAACCCATCACTCTTTGAATTAGAGTGTACAATTCTTTTATGTAATATAATTTTTAAAAAAAAGTATAATTGCATAACATCCCAGTTATTGGACCATGAATGTCAAAGAAAAAAGAAAAGAGGTCGTACAATTCTTCTAGCCTTCAATTTTGATTGTGAATTTCCAGCTTTTACTAGTCCCATTTAGAAATTGTCTCTAATTTTCCTACTCTATTCAACTTTTCCCAGTCACTAAATAGACATGTACTGCCTTTGGTAGACGTATAAAATCAATAAAATTTTTTTTTTGATCTTAAATTAATAAAATATAAGATTTTATTGTATTTTGTCTCCTGAATTTATAACCGTATTCAATTTTTTCACTGATGACACATGAAAAAGTTTTAAGGTTTCTATTAGAAAAGTTACTTAGCTTTCAATGTAAAAAATATTTAAAATGATTGATACTTTAAAAAAGTCAATACAAGTTCTTGAATAAATAATTAATGTAACTATTTCTTTCAATCTGTGTAGATTAATTATCCAAATCAAATAATTAACTTGATTATTTTTTAGTTTCTGTAAATTAATTATCTACTTCTTAGGTTTAAAAGTGGGAAGCTCAGTATTTTTTGCTAAAAGCATCTCCTTTGATTGATCTAAAAATGCCGTTCAAAACGGACATATGACGACAGTTATGTGAGTATATAGATACCTAGCTTTTCCCTTGAAGTTTAAACGTGTCAGTTGAATCCTGATTCTGTAAATTTTGCTTTCAGCGTCGACATTCAAATATCGTTTTTCGTCTCTTCCAATACATACAACTTTGCCTTCTCGATAAGACATTTGCTTATATTATCATCCAAGGTTCTCCACACAATCGAGTGTTAGTCAAGTTCGAGAGGGTCCCACCCCTGCAAATTGTTTCGATGATATGCACGTAAAACGGCCAATCAGTTTCTTGTTTACTTGGGTAATTCGTTATTGTATCTGCATTATTTTTATTATTTTGAGGCACACAATTAATATTAACAATAAATTAAATAATATAGATTGTGGCCTTCATTCTGACTCGATCGTCATTTTAATTTTTATCAAATGTGCATATCAAAACAAATCAAGCATAATTAAATTAGGAATCTAAACTGTGTGTGGCTAATTAATGGTCAAGCTAATTAATATAGGTTGTGTCTGTGAAAATTCCTTAAGCCTTAATAAATTACTACCCTCAGAGTTGCAGACATAAGTTTGAAATTTCTTGAGAGGACAAAAGGTGTTGACTTGACTCGTGTTATTACCTTGCTTGTACTACTTCATCTTCCTCAATTCTGCTTCATTTCTTTGGTTTGCTTTCATTTCATCAGATTCTTGGATTCCACGATCTTCTCTTGAGTAAGCCTCTCTTCATCGCCTGGCAACCTCGGCCGGCCACCAATAAGTACAACTTGCAAGTCTCCTAAATATCCTCATTCCGCATCTCCCAACACGAACGTGAGTATATATATAAGTGACTGTCATTTTGATTCCTTCAACATCGCAGCAACAACCTGGGAGCTTGTCTTAGATTCGCTCTGTATTCTGTATAGATGGCTTGCTCTTCTCCATAACTAGTGTTAATTTTCTAGATTGGTTCGTCTTTCTTCTGATATGTATGTTTGGAATATATATTCCCTTCAACATGATAATTGTTTTAACCTCTTTTGATATATATCTCACAACCATCATCACTTGGAAAAATTAGAATTGATGTATAGCCTCAATTTTGGCAGATGCGAGGTGGTAGTTGGTAGTACGACGAGTCCAGCAGAATAATGGAGAATCCGGAGGGGAATAAGGGTCATGTTTTTTTCGACAAATTCACATGGAAGATTGAGAATTTCTCGAAACAAAACGCCACAAATCTGCGCTCCAAGCCCTTCAAAATCTGCGGTTTCAAGTGGTACGTTCCTACTGGACTCACCCACCAATGCTTCAAATTTACTATGATCTGTTCCTTCCTAATTAATCTTGATCAGTGTCGTGGGGTCTGAATCACATACAGGAAGCTCCATGTGCACCCGCTGAGGAGGGACGTGGACAATTTTTCTGTGTATTTGACTGTTGCGGATTCATTGCCGCCGTATGGATGGAGCAGAAACACGTATTTCAAGTTGGTCCTCATTAATCAGATCGACCCCAACAAGTCTATTATCAAAGGTATACACCTCTGTCAATTAATTAATTTGTTATCTCTCTCTCTCTTTCCTAGTCGGTCAATCTCGTAAATTCTTGTTCACATTAGTATATGACAAATGGTCATTGTCATTTTCTTTATTTCAAATAACTTAAAAGTAAAATTTAATATGATGAATTAATGACAGTATTTTATTAGGATATTCTTCACTTAAATAATACTCTCTTGGAAGTATTAAACGCGCATTTATAAATTTTTTCACGTGTACACACACACACACACCCTTGAGCTGATGCGTAAATACGCTTTAATTCCCAGAAACACAGCAGAAATTCAAGGGAGGACATCGTAGCTGGGGCTCATTCTTGGTGACTCTCAAAGACTTCTACGACCCCAAACAAGGATATCTCGTCAAGAACACTTGTATCATCGAAGCCCACATTGGCGTTCCCGACGTTGCCCCCAAAATTCAAGCCACCGATAATAACCTTCCAACAATCCCAGAATCTAATCATCATCAAACTGAACAACAACAAAGTACAGAATCCACCACACAAAACGAAGATCAAGCAACCACAGAATATTCCGACGAAATTAGCGAGACGCCTAGTTCCCTAACCAGCTCTTCCGGTCATGCAGAACTTGATGAAGTCCAATGCTCAGATTTAACCCTACGAGATCTCATAGATGTGAGCGGTTTTGGACCAGACGAAGCAGCTTACGTCCCTCTTTTGGAAGAAGCATGCACGTGGCATCCTCAGCTGATAAACTCTCAAAGGGACAGAACTCGCTGGTTCAAATTATGGGCTTTCACGTCTTTAGGCCAAGTTCTGTACTTTCTCAAGACAAAAAAAGTTAAAGACATGGACGAAGATGGGTGTAAGTACCTTCAAGGTTTATGGGACGAGCTTGTGAAGTCGTCTGGGTTTAACTTGAGTTGGTTAGAGCCTTATGTTCAATCAGCATTAAGTGCCAAGAACTATTTGCCAAAAGCCGAGACAGTGGAGAAAGCTGCGCAGAAAATGACTGATTTGGAGATTAAAGTGAAGAAGCTGAAGGGAGAGCTGGCTGTTGCAGAAATGGAGCATGAATTAGCAAGAAGAGAGTTGGTCGAAATCAAGGGAAGTTTCCATGAGCTGGATTTGAACGCTGCATTAGATTATGCCATGTTTTAATACATAAAAGGGCTCGTGTACGCACACATCTTCGATAAAAAACAAGAGAGGGGTCATTGAAGTGGTGTAATTGTATATGCATAAATATGTCTTTTTTTTTTGGGGGGGGTCAAGTATGTGCATAAATATGCCGAAGGCTGACTAAAAATGTAATCAATCTTCTTTAAAAAATTCTGCCCAAGTGCCTATACTAATTGCCTTCGCGTTTCAACTCTCAGTTTTTGTTATGTTTAAAAATATAATCAAATTTAAGATACCCTTCGTTAATGTATATTTTTATGCCAGAAGACTTATTATGTCACAAGAGGTTACGTTCTAAACAATTCCTTTGTTCCTAATCATCATTCATATATGCTAGTTAGGAGGGAGATTTTCAACATTATATTATTTTCAATAAATATAAAGAGACGAATTGGCCAATCTATTCAAAAATTATTTTTCAGATATTCTGTTCATACATATAAATTAAACCGCAAATCCAACTATATCTGAAATTCAACTGAAGTATAATAACATTTAAACACAGTTTCTGTGCAGACCATACAGAATTAGGGGACAAGGTATTCTTGCAATATAAAAAGAATAGATTAAAGCCAGTTCTTCCATGGAAATTTGATTGCAATATTTTATAGATCTACTTAACATGTTCTGACCTTGAAATTCCTGAGTAGCTTCATTACAATTTGCATATATGTATCCAGCTGATGAGTTTGAGTTGACTTTTGTGATCTTTCGCACGTTTTGCTGTTTCTCTCTGTCATTTTTCTCATTTCAGGTTGACTTTTGAGATTCAACGACCTACTCTCCGTAACGTGTTTCCCCACAGCTTCTCTTTGCCAATGCCAAGAAAAAGTATCCATTAGTCTTCAACTAATTTGAGTGCTTCAGCTTCCTTCATCCACAAGTAAATTTCTCGCATTCAATCACAATATTCCTAGTTATACTACATGCATATACATTTTATATATATATATATATATATATATAGGTTTCAAGCTTTTGAAGCTATCAATTCCCGGCATTCTAACTTTTTCTTTGTTTGTGGGTGTTAGGATGGAGAACCAGCAAGAAAAGGGCATCATGTTCAAGAAATTCACGTGGGCAGTTCAAGATTTCTCAAAAAACAAAACCAAGAAACAACGCTCCAAGGCTTTTGAAGCTGGTGGTTGTAAATGGTAGGTACTTGTTGAATTTGCGGTCTGCTAGTTAGTTTCCTGCTTCTGCATGACTAATTATCAGAAGGGATAAAGTTCCAAGGCAGTTAACGGTTTCTGTACAGACAAATGAGTTAATTACCAGACATGTAATTAAAACCATATGTGTCTCATAACTTCAGGCGAATCGTGGTTAATCCAATTGGAAAGGGTGTGGAGCATTTGTCCCTGTTTCTGAAGGCTGCAAATTCTTTACCATCATTTGGTTGGACCAGATATGTCTATTTCAAGCTGTCTCTCATTAATCAGATCGACAAGGAGAGGTCCATTACAAAAGGTATATTTGTCGTCTAAAATCTAAATGCATATTTAATTATATGTTTATCTTTGTTTTCATGTTTGTTATAGTTGTTCCTGTCTTCTCTTTTTAGAAGCTAAGCTATATGTAAATGGGACAAACTTACTAAAATTTTCCAGTGATAAATTATATTAAATGTATAGCCGAGTTCCCCAGCCAAATGCAGTCAGTTCATCAGCTTCTATGAGATGTGGATTTAATATATTTCAGATATAATTAATGAGCTTTGTGTTACCATTATTAGGATTATCAGATATTTAATGCGTGCAACAATTTGAACTTACCTTCTGAATTCCCCATACATGTTCAACGTACGATTAGATCTTCCCACAGGGAGAAAGTTCTAGTTACTTATTGATATGTATATTTCTTTCAGAGACTCAACAAAAGTTCAATTCAGGACATAGTAGCTGGGGAGCGTCATTCTTGCTTGTCAATGACTTCGATAATACCGAAGGTTATCTGGTGAACGACTCATGCATCGTAGAAGCTCGAGTATCTGTCTCAGACGTTGCTTTTAAGATTCCAGACAACTTTACCAAAATCACTGACCAAACACAAGAGGAACAAGCAGAAACAGAGGAATCCACAGAACTACAGCCTGAAGATCATCAAAGCAGTTATTCCTCGGATGGGACGCCACGTTTCAAATCCTTTGATGAAGGATCATGGAATCAGTCATGTAAAACAGAATCAGGAAAACAAGACATTCTAGGGGCACCAGGAGAGACAACAAGTCCTAAACCAGCGCATTATGAGCCAACTGCCCCACCTCTGTATCCTTGTGTAGATGAATCACCTGTGGAAATACCCTTAACCCCTCTTAATGATCTTATAGATTATAGGAGTTTAAAGCCAGAAGAAGTCGGTTTTGTTCTGTTACTAGAGGATGTTTGTTCAAGGTATCCCTCACTGATAGAGAGCCAAAAGAAGAGAAGTCCTAAGTTCAGACACTGGGCATTCATAGCTTTAGGCCAAGTTCTATATTTTCTGGAGACAACGGAGGCAAAAAAGGTGGATGAATCTGCTTGCAACTACCTACAGGGTCTATGGGAAGAAGTTCAGTTATTTGGATTTGACTTGACGTGGTTGGAGCCTCATGTGCAGTATGCGTTGGGAATGAAAGATTATTTGGAAAGAGCGGACAAAGTGAGAAAACTGAAGAACGAGGTGATTGCTTTAGAGAATGAAATGAAGAGGCTGAGAGCAAGTTTGGCTGTTACAGAAGTTGACCTCAATATAGAAAGAAGACACTTGAGAGAGGAAGAAAAAGGATTTGAGGAGAAAGACATGGATGCTGTATTAGGCTGTGGCATATTTTAAATACGTAGTGCACAATAATTTTGTGTGCCCATTTCAGCTGGGTCAACGAAATCTTTAAATTGCGGATATGCTGCTTGTCATGAACTTGTTTCTGTGACAAACTCTGAAACAAAACAAAAATGTAATCATCTGGGACTCACACGAACAACATTGATAAATATTATGTGAGTTTTTATGGCCAAAAAAAAAAACTGTGTGTGAGAGAGATATTAAGGCTTGTTTTGGTATTATTGATTCCGTGCACTCCAACCCCGTTAAGTGTAAATAAATAAATAAAAAGTCAAATAAAGCCCGGACCTGTGAGCTGCATTGCAATTTCTTCCCACGACGGTCGTGCCACAATATAAATAATCCAGGTCAACTTTTTGAGGGAATTTAGGGTGAAGGAGAGCAGATAATTTTTTTAAAAATAATAATCAAATTATCTTCACTAATTTTCTCAGATCCAAGATTAATCAAATATTTTGTCAAGAAAATATATCAATAAAAACGTTACAATAAAGTGATAAACAATACATGATATTTGTGTAATAAGTAAAGTGAAATTTAATTATTGCTTCTCCATTCTCCTTCCAAATCATTAAAATTCCCCCTCTCATTCTCATCAACCAAGCCAAACAATTATCTCCTTCCTTTAACCAAACTCGCCATTTCTCTAATCTACCTGTCGGCGTTAATTTTCTTCCTCACCTCCGTTCAATTTTTTTTTATTTTGACCAGTCCTCACCTCCGTTCAATTGCTGCTTAAGTACTGCGAACAATTTATCACCGCTGCGTACTATTAAGATCTAATTTGAATGATTTATATTAATTTTTTTCACTTTCAATTTTTTTAAAAAATTATTTTTTTTGCCAACTTAAAAGAATTATTTTAATGTGTATAGAATTTAAAATGAAAATAATTTTTAAATATATTTTTTTAAAATATATTTTATTTAAAAATTAGTAGCGGAATTTTTAAATTGAAATAATTAATTTAAAGGGTGCCGAAGTCATTGAAGTGAGACCATGCTCATGCGGTAGGTCGGAATGAAATAATTATATTTCGTCTTCTTCAACTTCTTGACTTGCTCGTCTTTTATATGCCTCTTGACCTCCGCACTCCGCGGTTCACCCTTGCGCAGAAACTCCCTAGGTATGTCCCTTTCTGGTGACTTTGTTGTCTTACTTATTCTTGCTGTTTCGTATCGTGACACCCATCATTTAGTTTTCTCATTCTGACTCGGAGCTCTCGAGTTCGAAGCTGTCATTGCGTGTGAATACAGTTGTTTACTGTTTATATTCTGCTTTGTTGACGAAGCTCTGTCTTAGTAGATCGAACGTCGTATACGTATTCTGATCTTTAAAGCACTTTATTGTGTTTCCGTTGATTCTGAGTTTTTGCTTCGCTTCATTTATTAGGGTTAAATAGGGGTGGGAGTTGCTTGGCCCACAAATTATTCTGCGAAGGTTGGTAAATCATCAGTTTAATTTTTTTTTCCTGGAAGATGTAAGTTTAATGGATTTGCCTTTTCAGTTTTAGTGTTGGAATTGGTTGGTAGGCTGCGCAAAACTACAAATGGATAATCAACAAACCAGTCATTTACCCAAGGAAAAGTTCGTATGGAGAATTGAAAACTTCTCTAAGTTGAAATCTAAGAAGTTGTACTCCGAGACTTTCATTATGGGCGGCTATCCATGGTATTTACTTGAATAATTTACTGAATATTTATTTCCTGTTTGACGTAATTTGCATTTGTGTTTTGAATACGATTTTCATCGGGCTTGCTTTTAGGAGGATTCTTATATTTCCTAAAGGGAACAATGTGGACTCTTTGTCTTTATATTTGGATGTTGCGGATTCCCGGAGTTTACCTCATGGTTGGTCCAGATATGCACGTTTCAGCTTGGCTGTAATTAATCAATTAAAAGGGAAGTATACGGTCGAGAAAGGTATCTTTAGTTTGAGAATTTCTTTTCTCATTTGTTACTGTCCATCCTTGGTTTTGTTAAGTTTGTGGATTGATCTCGTGTTTCGTAACATGTTTATGTAGAGGTACTGCATTGAATCTGTTTGCATTTCCAGTAGGTGATGCTAAAGTTAACACCTGAAAGCCTTCATTGCCATTTCTTATAGTTAATAATGTGCTGTTCGAATTTTTTTCCGATCCCTTAAATTCCCATTTGGCTTATTGATACCGTTGTCCTCTGTAGTCTACTGTCCGTGACGTTTGTAATTTGGAAATGATGTAATGCGTACCTACATGTTTTAAGAAACTTTGTTTTCTTTTTCCTTCACTTAAATGTAAATTGAATCTGTGATGAATCTATAACCACAAGTGATGTATATTAATTAAGCATAAGAGATTGAAGCTCTGCTGACTGAATGTATATCATTGACCATATCTGCTGTTAGGGAGCTGAAATATTTCACACTACTGCTGATTAATATGTAACACAACGAAAACTTAAGCTATCCAATTATGCGTTTCTATTCCGTTTTCAACATCAACACATTGACGCAGAGTTGAGACTCGAATGTAATAAGACGACAACAATTTGATAATCATAAAATGGCAACATTTTTTTTAGCCATAATTGACTCTTGAATATTCATGTATGAATTTTTCAGAGACTCAACATTGCTTCAATTCAAAAGAGAGTGACTGGGGTTTCACAACATTTATGACTCTAAGTGAACTTCATGACCCAAATAAGGGTTATATTGTAGGTGATACATGTATAATTAATGCTGGAATTTCTAATCCCCAGTCTGAAAAAGAGAATCAAGTAGATCAAGCATTTGGTCCAACATCCGCGGAATCTCGAGATAAAGCCGGACATATGGAAGTAAAAGAGCAAGAAGGGAAAAGTTCACCACTTTCTGCACCGGTTTCTAGTGTGCATGCTCAGCATACTGGTAATCCTTCACTGCCTGCAGGATTGACCTCCAACCCAATGGATGAGCTTTCGGATTTCAGGGGTCTTGGGAAAATAGAAAGCATTTTTGTCCCACTGTTAGAGGAAATTTGTTCCAAGCACCCATCACTCATTGAATGTCAGCAGAAGAGAAGTAGACAATTTGTTGAATGGGCATTCACAGCTTTGGGTAGAGTTCTTCATTTCCTGAAGTCTAAAAGGGTGAAAGACATGAATGATGAAACTTGTGAACATCTTCAAATTTTATGGGAGGAACTTGAGACATTTAGATTTGATTTGACTTGGCTTGAGCCTCATGTTCATTCAGCCTTAGGCATGAAAAACTACTTAGAGAAAGCAACACAGGTGAAGAAGTTGAAGGATAATGTGAGTTCTCTGGAGATGGAAATGAAGAGACTTAAAGCAAAGCTTGCGTCTGCAGAGATAGATCTTGAAATAGCAAAAAGAGACTTGGTGCAAGCAGAAGAAGGGTTCCAAGAGAGGGATTTGGATGCAGAACTCGGATATGGGAGGCCATAGACCCTCAAATAATTACCTCTTAATTGTGCATCTTCGTGAAGAAACGCATCAATGTTTTGATATGTATTAATGTATCTGGAGTTAGATGTGGTGCCTAAAATGTTTCCTTGTAAATTGAACTTGAAAATTCCAGTGCTGCAATACCTGGCTGGCCACCATACTTTAGTGCCCCCCCCCCGGGGGTTATGTGTGACCATATGACTCCAAAAGATGAGGGCGCAGTAGTACTTTTAACATCTGCATTCGAATTTGAAAATATTAAAACTAAGCATATGAGTTCGATCTCTCGTTAACAAAAATCCTAGTAGACATGAAAGGTGATCATTGGACAAATTAGCCTATATAATCACATAAATGCTAGCTTTAGGTGGTCATACAAAAATAATTTGAGAGATCTCATGCCTCTCATCTTGATTTTTGGTGTTTTAATGGTTTTTCTTTAAATATTTACCAAATAAGGGTCATGTTTCTTGGATGTAAGTATTAAATAATTCATAATGTTTGTTTGCGAGACTTCCATTAGGCTTTATATTTACCAAATACGGGTCATGCTTCTTGGATGCAAGTATTAGGTAACTCATAATGTTTACGTACAAGAATTCCATCGTGCCGCAAGGTTTTGATTGGAGGCAATTTCATCAGAAATGTTAGGTGAATAAAAAATTCAAACTACGTTTTAGGGGAAAAAAAAATGGGAATGGTTAAACAAGACTTGGTTTTGTAACTGATGGAAAGCAGCCTATGGTTGACTTTCTACTATCATGTCTATTATCACTATTATGTTTAGTGCGCAGAGATGAAACATTCTAATTAATCATATAAAACTCAACTTCCTTCGAAGATATGAGATCTCAAGTATATTAACTAGAAGGATAAATATTAAAAAATGTTGCTTGAGAAAGAATCAATAAAAACTTTTTAAAAAAATGTGCAGATGGTTGAAGAAGACAACTTCTATTACGGATGATAAACAATCTACAATTTGACTTTCTACTATTATATTTATGGTTAATATAATACTATTTCCGGTTCTAAATATAAAAGTTAGTTAACTAATTTAAGTAGATTTAGAAAATAAATTAAGTTAGTTATTTGTAACAAATATGTGTTGTCTTTCTTAAAATATTCTTACTAATCAAGTATATTGGCTACAATTACTATTATTAGAAGAATACTTTGAAAAAAAAAAATAAATACGAGAGACAAAGTAGATTAGGGTCTTATATTTAAGACTAAAATAAAAGTCAAACGAGATCTTATATTAAAGATGAAAAGTAGTATTTAGTTTCTGAAATTTTATTTTATTTGGATTTTGATTCCTAGAATCTTTCTCGATGGCATAAATTTTTTACACCGATAAAGAAAAGTTGATTTCAAAAATGAAAACCAAAATAAAGTTAAATTTTAAAAACTAAAGATGATACTAATCCTTATATTTATTATCATAGTAATATTTCGCGTGCATAAAGATGAAACATTCTAATTAATCATGTAAAACTCAGCTTCCTTCAAAGATTTGACATCACAAGTATATTAATTAGGAGGATAATAAAGTAAATGAGCTCAAAGAGAAGGAAATTTCCAGTACAACTGGTAATATTATCACGACCAATTTGGAATTTCTTATGACAGCTAATGGCCAGTTGACTTTTTTTTAGGTGTGATGACATTTGCTCGCTACATTTGCCTTGATCTTCCTAGTTTCTCTCCAACAAGTTTTCTTCTTTATTCGCCATCTCTTGATGCTATCTCAACCATTCTTACTTTTTAGTGTTTCAAAATCTTTACTGAATTGTTTCTTTTGGTTCGCATGATAGCTGTTTGTGATGGAGGATAATCTGAGAACTAATAATACTTTTCATAGATTCACATGGACAATTCAAAATCTCTCAGAGAGGATAACCAAGGAACTACGCTCCAAGTCTTTTGAGGTTGGTAGCTGTAAATGGTACGTACTTGGTGAATTTCCAATTCTCTCTGGGTATTTGAGTATGCAAGTGCTAGTTTCTTTCAGATGATTTCTTAACCTTTGACGGGGGTTGTTTCTCAATGCGCAGGCGAATAGTTGTGAATCAAGTTGAGAGAAACAGGGAGCAATATTTGCGAGTGATTTTGAGGGTTGCAAAGACTTTATTCCCCTTAAGATGGAGAAAATTTGCTCGTATCAAGTTGATTCTTATTAATCAGACGGATCGAAACATATCTATTGTAAGGGGTAATTAGCTTATCTTTATTATTTCTAACATATATTCGAATGTATGTAGTGTTTGGTCCAATCTCCTAATCCAACCCCAACTATATTTTGTAGAGACGCAGCAGAGGTTCAATGCCGGGTATAAAGCCTGGGGTACACCATTCGTGCATCTCAATGAGTTCTATAATCCTATGAGAGGCTATCTTGTGAACAACACATGCATCATTGAAGCTGAACTATACATATCTGATGATCCTTTTAACCCTCAAGACAACAATGTCGCCCAAACCCTTGGATTCCCAACGAATATGGAGGAAACCACGCAGCTTGGAGATCAAGGAATCGATTCTTCGGATGACACTTTAAGTTTCACATCCCTTGAATCTACATGGAATCATGCAAGTCAAACACATCTAGAATTCCAAGAGATGGAAGATCAAGTATCTGTAGGACCTTCAAATGAAACAAAGAGTCCTACACAAGTGTGCTCTGTACCTGGTGCTCGTCCTTCGTATCCTGCCACAGATGATGAACTTGAGGAAGTGCCCTTATCCCCTGCTCTTAGTGAGATTATAGATCTCAGAAGTTTAGAAGCAGAAGATTTGGCTTTTGTTCCATTATTGGAGGAGGTGTGTTCATGGAAACCTTCGCTAATTGAGAGTCAAAGGAGAAGAACTTCAAGGTTCATTCGCTGGGCATTCATAGCGTTGGGCCGAGTTTTATATTTTCTCAAGACAATGAAGGTGAGAAATATGGGTGACGAAGGTACTTGTAGAAAGCTCCAAGGTATGTGGGAGGAGCTTCAGATGTTTGGGTTTGAATTGACGTGGTTGGAGGTTCCTGTTCAATCTGCCTTAGGCATGAAAGCTTATTTGGAAAGAGCAGAGCAAGTGAGAACACTAAAGGAGAAAGTGACCGATTTAGAGATTGAGATGAAGAAGCTAAGGGAAAATTTGGCTTTTGCAGAAGTTAACCTTGATACAGAAAGGCAACACTTGGCAGAGGAAGAAAAGGGTTTTGAAGAGATTGACATGGATGCTCAACTAGGCTATGGCATCTTTTAGATGCTTTCTTAAATAATTTGCTTCTGAATTATTAGTGAGCACGAGGCCCAGAAAGAAGGCTTTGTCGTGTTACACATCAATCTTTATGATGTCTTCTATTCCTCCCTAGTCCTCATAAACTTGAATTGATCTTACTGACCGGACTTAAATTATTTTTTTGGGCCAACAGACTAATTCATACCATTTGCTTTAATTTAATTATTGGATATTTATTACTTAATTAATTCTTTTATTCTTCATTTTGTACTATAATGTACCAAGTAACTTCATTTAATATTTCAAAACAATCTTGTTGCTTAATTTTCTTCGTAGTATCCCAAAAGGATTTTTTCAAAACAAACAGCTGATTATGACAAGAGGGTTAGGCTAACTACACGCATTTACCTTTCAACCGGGGGGGGGGGGAGAAAAGCGAAAAAGGTAAAACAAAACTTCAGGTTAACCCATTCGGTGGCCAGCAAAGAAAGGGAAAACCCATACATACTTGAAGCTTGCCATCTTCATGAGTTTTCCTATTATATTTTACATGAACTCTCCCCTCAGTGCTGAAGCAGCTTTTTTTATGGCTCTGGCAACCTTCCAGATCTCATGTCGGATCGCTGCCCGCCCTTCTTTTTCACTACTTGTGGCTGACCAAGCAATAGAATCAGCGACTCCGGGGAAGAAATCCATCTTGCTTTCATGGTCGCTTGGAGGCCCAAAAACCTTCGTAGCAAGACACATCGTCAGGTTTACAATAAGAAACTTTGAAAATGATGTCTAGCGCAAATGACGATCACGGACAAGGGGATATAATCCTCGTCCCTGAACTTGTAAAGATATCTTTTCCTCATTTCCAGACCTATACCCTATAGCTTCAGTAAGTTTAGTTGTTAAACTTAATCCCTTTCCAATACTTAGTTACCAGTCCAACTATTTTGGATTGTGAGCAGGTAATTTATCTAAAACTTGAGATGCAGTCAGAGTTAAAGGATAATAACTAATTATCCCGTAGAATGCCACTGTGAATCAAAATCATGATGGAAACTTATGAAAGGTCAGGGGCCTGTCCTCAGTTTTAAATTTGCTTCAAGAGTTTTGGTTTGTGTATTATGTGCTTTGATATCTGTCCATACCAATCAAGCCATCAGGTCAAGTCGTGTTTTTCAAAGCGATCCATCCAAGTCCAACTATTATTGTTGAAACAGTGACGAATATTACTCAAGATTTAGGAGGCAAGACACTCACAAGATGCTTGAACCAATTCCTTTCTCTAAGTCCATGAGGATCCAGGAAGCCTTTTTCGGCCAGCATTAGTCTATCATTCAATGCTCGCCTTTTTGAATGCACAAAACAATCAACGGCTTCTTGCAATCTCGCTGCCTGCAATCCAAAACAAAGATACATAAATAGTAGGAGACAAGAAAAAAATAGGAGCAATTATAGCAGCTTTGTGTGGTAATGATATCAACAGGGTGCTCTCGTTTTACATTTAATTCCTCATCAAATTCTTTGACAGCTGATGCAAAATCCTGTATCGAACTAGTTAACGGTTGCAAAGAGATTGATTGGTCTAAAAAGTTGCGCAGTCTGTTCCTGTACGCCTGGTCAAAACAGATGGAAGTTACACAATCGAGTAAAAACCTAGCGCACCAAATTATGAGCATCTCATCCCACTAAGCACAATGATTTCAAGCTTTCCCTTTTTTTGGTCAAATAATATATGCATTTAATTCACGAAATCATTGTCTAATTATTCAAGGGTGGTTGATATCTTAAGTTCCAGAAAGCTCACAGCTGGTTTCACCAAGATCATGGTCTCATAAAGAGCACCCCTTAGATTTTCTAAGGCAATTAATTTCGGGAGTAAAGTCCCCTTAATAGGCTCAACCATATAAATTACTTTCCTGAAAGCCACGACTTAGCAAGAAGTATCAACTCAGTCTAGACTACGAACACATACCTGTAACTGATCTACGTAAGAATGGTAATTAAACGGAAGAATAGGATCATCAGCCAGGTGAAGCGCCAGAAGTCCCCAAACTCCAGCAACTAATGCAACATGAAACAGAAAAGAAAAATCATCTTATGTTTACAATTTATGGATGGGAAAATTTTATATCATATTGACAGTAAATAGAAAAGAATCAGTCTAACCAGCTACATGCCGCTGAAAGAATGGATCTCCATACTGTGTCATCCAGTCGTAGGAGTCAAAAGCAGTGTGATAGACAGGAAAATCTACAGAAAAAGTCAGCAATCTGAATTCATTTAACACCCAAGACTATCGGACAGATTATTGCAGCATATTTGAGACTTTCTTTTTTTTAAAAGTTGTGGCTTCAAAATTCTTGCTTAACAGGACCAGGAATTGATCATCACACCTCTGGCCCCCAGATCAACTTACGTTAGATACACACTATAAATTAGTATCCAACTATAACCACAAACACAAGGATTGCAACAGTTTAAAGCCATACAAAAATGGAATAATCAATTTATTATATCAAACCAGAATTAATTGCTACAATACTTTCTCATATCGCGTTTTACTTTTGAAAAATTTTGATGTCCTGTGCATTAGCACGGGGGACGACTTCTCTGGTTAACTAACGTAACAGAATTTCATGACCCCAGTTCAGTTTGGTCCAATCCACAGAACAGAAAAGAAACAGACCCCAGTCAACCTCGCCAGACGCTCAAGTGCCTTTTAAATCCCAAACTACCTCTTACATACATTAAAAAAAAAAAAAAAAAACCCAATAACAAAATAATATTACATAGCATAACTAGAGTAAGTGCCCTCGTATGTGATATTTGCCATTGGCTTGGCTTTCCAATCATTCTCACTTACATCACTGGCATGCTTTTTGAAACATCTTTGTTCATATGAAGTAATGTACCTTTTCCATAATACAAATCAACAGAGGGAACACCGGCATGTTGCACAAATGGTGCAAAATCAGAGTCCAGTCCGCTGAGCCTCAAAATCTGCAATCAATCAGGACAAACACGGGTAAGCAACAAAAAAATATTGCGCCAATTTTCTCGCAGACTACAAATAGGTATTATTAACTGCGCAAAAGAGATAGCATAATATACTGAATCGAGAATATTTAAATTCTATGCAGACTCCCGTGAACAACTATATAATTAAAATGTTTTAAACATATATAAACAAGGGACTACTTCATATGCTTGTCAATAGATAGAGGTAAAAGAAGCAGTACATTAGAATTTCCATCAGCTGCCCAATTTTCATACAGCACTGCACCCTCAGCATCAGGATCCTTGACCTGAACTTGACACACATTGTAATTGATTTTCCGCATTAGAAAGAAAGCCAGCTTAAACACGACGTACTATGCAATACTGACCTTGCATCATAAAAAAAAGAAAATTATGTAAAAATAGAAACCTCTCGTACCCTTCAGAATAATTCTTGAATGTTATAATACAATTTTTTTTTCCTTTTTGAAATTCATTAAATTTAAGGAGGACTAGTCAAAGCAGTGAATTACACGGGATGCCAAAGGGATGCTCATCTCCATTTAATTAAAAAAATGAAATACACATATACACATTTATATACAAAAGTTACCTTTTCTGTGACCTCAAGAATGAGATCATCTAGTTGAGGAGTAGCGCCAGCGAAGAAACCAGGACCTTGGACAGCACAGTCAACATTGAGGTATGCAACTGCTTGGGAACCCAGATTGACAAGGTTTTGCTCCACCCACTCGGTGGACCCAATCTACATAATTAAATAAACTCGTTTAGAGAGCATATTACAAGAATTGTTGCAATAATAATCTCTTTTACCAGATTATTACAGCAGAAGTAGAACAAAGGAAAATTAAGAGGAAGGAAAAATAATAAATCTAAAGTCTCTACACAATCTCTGGAACCCCAAATGTGAGTTGAGAAGTGAAGAAGAAATTACTGCATACCATCCCAAATTCCTCAGCATCCCAACTGCAGAGGATAACCGTCCTCCGAGGGGTCCACCCACTGTGCAATAGAAGAGAAAACCGCCGAGCAATGTCAAGTAGAGCTGCAGTCCCACTGCTGGGATCTACAGCACCATATGTCCAGGCGTCACGATGGTTCCCCAGGAGCACAAAACGATCAGATTCTTCTGATCCCTTTATGACAGCAAAAACATTTTCAATGGTAGCCACCTTCTTTTCCCCCTGAGGATCAAAAAAGTGAGACATAATGAAACAATGCATATTAAACATTGACCCAAGGATCAGCTCAATGATTCTTCTCGTTTCAACTTCACAGCTATCTTTTCATTCTAAGTCAGACATACTAAAATATGCTTGACCTAAAATATATGCAAGCTAGAAATGATTAAACAAAAAGCTTCTTTACGTTCAGCATCGTTTATATTGGAATCATAAGATTAATGGCCAGAAAAATAATATCATTTATCCCTTCAAAGATGTAATTATCTCGCCCAATACCCTCAGTCATCAACGGAGCACTTCCTAGCATCTATGATTTTTCGCATTTGGGGAAAGGGGGAAAAAAAAAAATACTAGCTCAACCACAGAAACAAAGCCATGAAGGCAATTAGGCAACTTTCCGATTAGTCATTACCCTTCACCCCGTTCTATTTTATATTTTTCCCTCGAAAGTATAAATTTTGGATTCCCATTATCTTTCAGTCGAAGTGCAACACACACAGCAAAAGTCACTCACATGCATATATGCACGTATCCTGCCCATATTCGACCAAACCTAGCGAACATCTTAACAGGTTGTCCACAAAATAAAACAACAAAAGACAGCGTCAAAAGTCAAAGACGCCTAGATAGGCTCCGGAATAATAATAATTCGACCCCTAAAATGAAGAAAATGAGACACAATTATAGCCACACTCAGATGAAAGTCGCAAAATTTAAATTCCACTATGGGTCAAGGGATCCCCTCACCAACCTGGTACGTGAAATTAAGCATTGTCGGGCCAGGACCAACATGCGTGAGTCTGACATTGGACCCTAGCGAGCTCTTCCATTCCTGTGGCAGCTCAGTACCTACTAGCGAGTGCAAAATGGTCTCAGCGATCTCAGTGGAAAGGGGCATGGATGGAATTTTGGGAAACCTTTTCAAAACCTCACTATCTTCCAAATCCAAGCTCTCGCCGCCATCAACCCCAGCCCACCCAGGGGTAAGCGGGTCCCCTATGCCTCTCAGGACGTGTCCTCTCTCGAACCCTTTACCAAACCCGTCCCTATCGGCATATATTAGCACCGCCACCGCACCGTACGCCTCCGCCTTCTCCACCACCGCTCCTCGGGTCAAACCGCCACCTTTCCTCGCCATCACTATGCATCCGCTAACGTTCACTCCTAGCATCCCTAGAGCACGGTAATCCTCGTCCCTCCCATAATTCACGAAAGCCGCCTTCGCATACGCCGAACCAGATGGCGAGTAAGCATGGTAAGGTGGCACCACGTCTGGGTCAGCCTGATTGGTCTGAACCATTTCACCTAAGAGAAACTCCGAGCAGGACCCGTCGCTAAAATGCGCGGAGAGGGAGGAGTGCAGTGGATAAGAGAGGAGGGCTTCGTACTTCGCAGTGTGGGTCTGCAGGCCCAGGTCCCTGAAATGGTTGAGAACATAACGGGCGGTGTCGGAGCCGAGTTTTGTTCCGGCAAGGTGCGGGTGCTGGGTGAGGTCACGAAGGTAGGAGGCGATGGTGGAGTTAGAGGAAGAGGAGAGGAACATATGGCGGAAGTAAGACGCATTATGGGAAGTGAAAGATGGCGGAAAAGAGTGAGGCTGATTCACGGTGTAAAAGCCCACAATACAGAGGATAAGAACCAGAACGAAGGTACCCAGAGGAGATGGTGTTGCAGGGAACATGGCCCTTGGTTTTGACAGACACGGAACCATTTTCTGAATAACTTGAGAAGTGATGATTGGAGAAGAGAGAAAGGGCTGGAGTGTTGAGGGGTAAAAATGAGGAAGCAGAGCAGGTTTTGTTCAGAAAAAAGAGCTGATTTTCTGCGGCAGTTACTTCTACTTTCTACGAGAATGCAATGATGATGCATTTTGGTTTTTTCTCGAAAAAATATATGAGCACAGGCTTTTTCCGTGTCTGGTTCATCCCCCTTAAAAAACGATGCTTGCTAGCTTTTTAATCGTGATCGCGGGTCTGGCGAAAGCTCCTCTCCCTCTCAGTGCATAAGCCACTTGAGCCTCCTCGCCTTCCTCCCTTTGGAGCAGCCTAAAGATAATTTGTCTAATCAGGATATTATAATTAGAGTGAGTGTATGGATGCTCATTACTCTAATAATTATGTGCATAATTTTAAAAAATAATTATTTCTGCTTGTGAAAAAGTACTAAAGCTTTTAATTTTGTGGCAGAGCTTAACTGACAGCATCTTACTTGTTTAAAATTTGAGAATAGATTTTGAGAGTTGCGCTCCGGTAGTAATAAATTTTATAATTTCTAATCGTTACCCAACTTTTAAAATTTTAATTCAATATAATTCATTTACTCCCCATTATTTATAAGTGATTTACAACTTAATTTCTAGAAAACTACATGATTTTTTAGAAGTGCATGTAGATATATATTGATTGGTTAAAAGTTGTAGTACTTGAGTGAGTTAAATTTTAATTAAATTGTAATTAAGTTAAAATTATATTGACTAACCTCTTCATGTTCACATATCCGTCCATACACAATCATTACATATGATGATTTTTCGTTTTTAAAATAAGAATTACACGAGGGAAAAATTAATTGATAAAAATAAATAGAAAATTAAAATAATAAAATATTAAATTATCAACCTTTTAAAACTTTAAAATTTTTTGAAATTGAAAAATTTAACCCAAGGCCTTTCAGTTATAGTTTTTTTTTCTAATTTAAATTTTTGACATTCTAAAGATAAATTTAAAAATTCTCAATTTTAATTTTTCAAAACAATTGTAATTGAAAGTCTGCGGTGGAGCTCTGACGTCGTTAGTTCGCCGCATAAAAGGCATTTTGACAGCCCTCTGCATCTCTAAGGATTTCACAACTTCGTCATTGAGATTATGTTGCTGTTATTGTTTTGAACAAGTATACCAACTCAAAATTTCATTAAAATAAATAGGAATCTGAAATTAATCAATTGGCTTTAACATTATTTGAGATGAGCAATATCGATGCCAGGCCTTAAAGTTCAGCTAGAGCCTGTAGCAAAATGTAAGGAGGAACAGAAAGTTGAATCACAGTGCCAATTTTCAAGGTCAGAAAACGATGACAATATCAATTTTTAAACCTAATTTTCAAATCTGCAAAAGAATTAAAGTACCCGGTAGCAACCAGTCGATTCCCAGTCAAACAAGAAAATTCTGGAGTCCGAACCCCACAAGCAGTCAAGCATAAAACGGCCTTGACTGGAAAAATAATATAAAACACGTGAACAACGGGAGTTTCACATGAAGAAACGAACTTCAACGTAACTTCCCCCCAAAACCACGCCGGCTTGGTAAGCTTCGCTCGCTTTCTAAAATGTTAAATAAACGAAGAATGTACGTACGCGTAGGAATGAATAATAAAGAACTGTAAATAGAATGAGATTCAAAGTTCAATCAATAACCTAGTTATTTCCCGTTCAATGAAATGACAGGGAGCACACATTCTCTAAAGGGGCACGCTCATACGGCAGCCGTATTTATTTGTTTATTTATTCTGAGGACCAGAAGGCGGAAAGTAGGATCTGTTCGTTAAATTACATCAGATACTGCGAATAAGAGGAAATTATAGAGGAAGTTTTAATGGCAAGAAAGTGGATTAGATCAGATGCTGGGAATAAGAGGAAATTATAGAGAAAATGTTAATGGAAGAAAAGTTGTGATAATCTTTCATATGGAAAAGGGGATGCATTCATTATTAAAATGTGAAGAGGTGGATGACAGCAGGACGTCTGTCTTGTGCTCATGAACGGGGGAGATTTTAAGGCTCATTCTAATTATAAATCCAAACCAGCAACTCTGCCACTACTCACATGAATATCTTGGTTTTTTCCCAGGAACATCATCTTTTATCGATGCTAAGAATAACCCCAATTTGTGGCTGTAAATACACATTAAAGCAGCCTCCTGCTAGCTTGGCTCAGGAAGCAGACGTGATAGCTTTTGCCTTTTGATTGATTTCTTTATTCATCCCCGTCTGCTATATGAAAAAAGAACGAGAACCCATGTCCTGTTTGTTTCACCCCTTTCTTTGTCACTCCCTCATATGATCCAAGCCAAAAGTAGAGTGAGTGGAGAGAGCATTAGGCTCTCGAGCATCCAAATATGTTATTACCCATCAAGAGATAAATGCCAGCATAAACGTGTAATCATTAAAATATGCTTTCATGGAGCAGGGGAACTTAGGGTAGACCCAGCTGTTCCCATGAGATTCTCAAAGTCCAAACACATGTCTCCACCTGGACGTTCAAGGATTTGCCCTTTTTCTGGACTGAAACGATTTGCTACTTGCCATCTTGTTATTGGGCAGGGTCTTGTCATTATCACAGGCTGGTCTGCATTATTGATTCTGGATCCAAGTCCCTGTTACGAGCATGTACGATGATACAATGGTTGTAGAAAGTATCCAGGGGCTCTATGCAAGGCCCACGTAAGCAGATAAGCTCGAGTTTGGACTATGTCGAGGGGCGTGATTATCATCATGCACTCGCACGATTTTCTCTACTTTTTTTTTCTTCTTTTTTTGTGGAATTTCAACTTGCCAAATGATTTATGGATTTCATTTACAAAAGAAATGAAAATTAAGGGTTTAGAGTCCGCACGATTTTAACATGATAGCGATCTCGTCCATAACATAGACACTATAAGTGATGCTACTGCTATGGCTCCCCAAGGATGCGGACAAGACAAAGCACGGCTGCGGCGATAAACATGAAGGTATTGATTGCTACCTTTCACTGTATCAGCTCATGTCAATTCTGCAGCTAGATATGCTGTGCAGGCCCAAGGTCACAAATTTTAACCATTCAATTGTCAAGCTTGTACGGCCCTGGACCCCAGGGAGGAAGTACTCCCTCTATTTTAACATGATAGCGATCTCGTCCATAACATAGACACTATAAGTGATGCTACTGCTATGGCTCCCCAAGGATGCGGACAAGACAAAGCACGGCTGCGGCGATAAACATGAAGGTATTGATTGCTACCTTTCACTGTATCAGCTCATGTCAATTCTGCAGCTAGATATGCTGTGCAGGCCAAGGTCACAAATTTTAACCATTCAATTGTCAAGCTTGTACGGCCCTGGACCCCAGGGGAGGAAGTACTCCCTCTGACCAAATCTGGAACTGACATAAAGACCAAGTTCTCAGAAATCAATGTTTAACGATCTGACAAATGCAAATAAGCAGCAGACAAGTTTTGGGGCTCATGACTTTCAAGAGAAAGCTGATGTAACCCAAAATTTGAGGTTATGGAAAGCATTTGTTGTGTTACATGAGAAATACCGCTTTGTGTTTCAGAAAGGCTTTTACTGAGTAGGATGCAGGTCCAGAAGCATTTAAACTCCAACTATGGTATTGTATGTGCCATATACGGCAAAAAATAATCCGCAGAACATTACAATAGAATCCAAAGCTTTCTGCCAAAGATGTAGAGAAGAACCAAACAGCTTTAGGTGAAATGTGGCTGGCAAAACAAATGAGATCAATGCACACACGGTACTCCCCACAAATGAGGCAAATACGCCAAAAGCTGGCACACAAGAAGCGAAGATTGCCAACACAACGACCACAACAGCACGACTTACGTAGATCCCAACCTTTCCTAGTCTGGTCGTTGAATCGTTATTGTCCCCATGGAAAGGCCTGTAAAACCATTTGATCCTTTTCAACCTGCCCTCCACAATTTCATTAATAGGGTGTAACATGATTGGGAACGTGAAAACAAGCCCCAGGCACAATCCGACCTGTCATCATGGCAATTGTGAGATCTCACAATGAATAATCAGAAATAAACAATCTCATGAAAGTAAAATATCAAAGTTGATGGCAAAAGAGCTGTTAAATGGCTTTCTCATCTGCTTCTTACAATGCTTAAAATTTGAAACATTTATCTGAAAAGTGGATTTTATAAGGCATGTACAAGCTCAAACCGATCATGTGTATGGATATAATGTGAACAACACACACTTGCACTGGCAACGAGAAACACAAGCTGGCATACACACGCAAATACGCAGATTAAACAGATTACATGTACAACAAGATCTACGTGACAAGAGATATGAGTATCAAACGCTAAATCATCTTGGAGTCAAGTGCTTCCACTAATGCCCTCAAAAAGTGTAACATATGGGAGATAACAGCAGAAAACAAATTTCAATCGTATCCACCAATTATACAAAAGGATATCTAGGCTGATCTTAGGATATTTCAATGTCAGAGTCAAGAAGCCATGTCTGCTATAGTTGGTCTGTATTCTTGGAAAGTGCAAGACTGCAAGTCACTAAAATGTTCTCAACCTGGGTGATGCAATGCATTTGCTTAACGATTTTTACCCATGTTTTGACTTTTATCAAATAGTATAATTTCAACGTTTATGCATGTCTTAGCAAGATACATATCACTATGAATCCAGAACCAACTGGCTGAGAAAAAGAAAGCGGGAAAAAGCAGGGTATTGATCAGCTAAGTGCGAGAAACTACGAGAGAGTCACATGTCAAGCCAAAAAGGCAATGCAACATTTCATAGTTGCTTGTCTTAACCATATTACCTGAACTGCTAGAGATGACCAATTCCTGGGGAGATTGAGGGTTACAATATCTCTAGTTTCATCACCATAAGCCATGTAACCAAAAAACCCAAAAAGAATGTACGCAAGTGTTATCCCACCAAAGGTTTGAGCCAGCAATCTTGGGAATTTAGCTCTGTCCTGCATAGAATTCTCCAAGGCCAATGTCATCCCAAACCCTTCAAAACAGAAGACTGCCATGCCTCCTGCAAAAGGCAGTCCCCCTAAGTTGGATGTGATAGCAGTCCTCTGTTCAAACGAAAATTCACCCCTTATTGCTTGCTGTATATCGTTCTTCACCACAATTCCCATCGCTAGGACATTGCAAATATCAGCAAAAATGCTAAATGGAGCTAAAGCAGATAAGCTCCCTATCCATGATAATCCAATTTCAACCGGCACTAACAAAAATATATAGGATGTGAATGCGAGACTGTGCGTTTGGAAAATAGATTGGAAGTTTTGGCCAATGAATACCAAATATGCAACGGAACCTCCACTCTGTGCCACCAAAATAAGAAATTCCGACAGATATCGACCAAAGGTTCCAAAGCTCTTATAACCCAAATCTCCATATGTGTTTGCTTCGAGTGATGATCCATCTGCTGCCAACTTCTCTCTCTGCACAAAACCTGTAGCAAGGAAAATCAAATGCAGGCCTTTCAAGAACAAGACACCAGCTAATTTCTAAAGGCATAAAATATGAAAAGATAATGCTGAGTCGATTTTAATTCGGGTTCTTCCAGGAACATCTTTTCCTTTTGCTGATGAATGAATTTACTGTGTCTCAAGAAGGGGGGTATGCTACCAGTAACTTCATAATAAAGGGAAGTAAAGCAAATGTTAGTCACGATCATCTTTGATCGGAAAAAGAAAACGGGTTGTTTAGACTCCGCGGAACTGAGTTTTTATTTCCAAGGAAAGGATGAAAAGGTTCTCCAGGCCAATGGCACGTATTAATTCCCCGAGTTCCAGCCACAAAAAAAAAGTCAGCTTGTTCACCCAATAAATTAATCGTTTTAGGCCCAGTCACAAAAATTACATACGAACTTATGTGCTTGACTAGTTTCAGAAGAAAAACAAAGAGAAGGAATGCTCACTGACAAGGAGGAGCATGCAATAGTAGGTGGTCATGCCCACGATGGCAACTCCAAGTGAGCCAGCAAGCCAACCAGCGATCCGAAAGCAAAGGCAATCCCAGTACACCCAACCGGTACCAACAATCGAGACTATGATATTTCCCAGGGTTTGAAGCCTAGAAGCTGTTCCAGAAGGAGACGATTCCAGCAGAGGTGCTGCGGAGCCTTTCGTGTCCCGCTCCATCGTCTTCTTGATCCCCAATCACGAGTCCACCACCTCTCGCCGATATAAATACCAAATTATGTTCTGGATTCGAGTATTATTGGGGTTTGGGATTCAATTTTGGTAAGAGATTCGCATTTTCCAAATCAACCAAATCATGCTGAATAAGTGAATGGTCCTCTGGAAACAAGATCGGTAAGTGAAACAGATTATTTGTTGATTTCTATTTTTTCGTCGGCAAGGAAATTACAACTACCGCCATTATGAGCCACCATCCTGCTGAATCGCCGGTTGAATCTTTAACGTTCAGGATATGATCGAGTTACTAAAAAATGAAGGAGATAAGATTCTTTGCCCCGCTTTCCATTGACGGATATGTGAGATCAGAGCCAAATCATAATTATTGCTCTTAGTTTGGCAGCAGCTGCGACTATTTCTCAGGGAGAAGATTTCACGTACGATACTACTCTCTTCCTTACTTATTATAAGAGACATTTAATGTTTATGGCATGTTTCTATATATAAGAGACACTTACAAGTTGTCTCTACTTTTTTGTGTTGATTTATTATTTTACCCATATTTATTATCTCCAACTCACACTCTCTCTCCCTCCACTTCTCTTTCTTTTAATAATTTAATTGTTCTCTCTCATGCTCTCTCTTCCTTATTAATGAGGGCATTTTTGGAAAAAAAAATTATACTTTTTATACATTAATTGTTCTTAACTAATTTTAACTGTTTTTTTATCAACATACTTCGATTATTTGTCTCTTATAATAAGAAACGGAGGAGTATCTATCTAGGGAGGGAGTATCTATCAGTTCGTTTTCAGCTTCAGGCAGCTAACAAAATCAAGGGATTTTTTTTTTTTAACCATGACAAAATCAAGGGATGTTTTTTTTTAACCATGACAAAATCAAGGGATTTAGACCTGTAATACAGGCGAAATTTGGCGCAAGCAGATTGTCCTCATGCGTTGGCTGGGATTAGAATATTGATTTTTTATGAGTTAATGGGCATGATTTTTTTTGAGTACACATTTAGTATTTTAAAATATTTTGTGATATATCTAAGGGAAAATTCTAATTAAATCCATTTGAAATAACAAAATCCTAATTTAAACCTATATTTTTACAAATTCTTAATTAGGCCAAGAGGCCTAATTAAAGATTTCTAAATGTTACTAAACGACCAAAATGCCCTTCGTAATTAAAAAGCCTAATTTAGTTTTAATTCTTTTAATTGAATTTAACTAACATGTTTTTTGAAATTAATTTTATTGTTTCACAAATTACATTGAGACTCATCAATTCATCTTCAATTTTTCAGTCTCTAAGATTTATTCAATATCAAATTTTTATTATATAAAAAATAACTAAAAGCCTATAAATTCTAGAGTTGACATAACATTCACAAGTATGAAACACAATTTTGACATAAAATCCAAGAAAGACCACATCCTCATTGGTAAATCTACTAGAATAATTAAAACTAAAATTAGGTTGATACCTACATTCAATTTTCCTTTTTGATTACAAATTACAAAAAGGCATTTGGTCTTTTAGCAACATTTGAAAATCCCTAATTAGGCCACTTGGCCTAATTAGAAATTTGTTAAAAGTATAAGCCTTAATTAGAATTTTATTATTTCATATGGATTTAATTGGGATTTTCTCTGTATCTAATGTCCTAAAATAATTTTTAAATGTGTTCAGTATTATTTTTTTTGTGTGTATCCAGTATTTTAAAGTATTTTTTTAAGTATGTCTAGCACTTAAAAAATATTTTTTTTGATGTATCCAGTACCAAAACACAAAAAATACTTCAGATTATTGAATGCATTTGAAAAATAATTCAACATGTTGAACGCACTACAAAATACTTTGATATGCTAGATGCACCTGACAAAATACTTATGCATATTAGATGCACCTTAACTTTTTTGTAATATATTATCTATTTATTATTTATTATTCTAACAAAACCTTCCCCATTAGATAATTTAAATGAATTTTAATTTATTTATTAACTTTTTAAAATTTTAACATCCTAATTATACTGCTTTTGAAATGCTAAACCTAACTATTTAGATTTAACATCCTAATTTGAATTTTATAGGCTAAATAAAAAATTGAAATTCAACAAATTCCTAACACACAAAAATTAGAACACACAGAAAGATTTTTCATCATGAAAAACACCCACTTATGCTTCCATTATATTGCTTCCCGCAAAAGAACGCAGTATATGTGTAAAGAGAGAACATTTACGAACGGAAGCTTTCGTCTTAACAATATCCTCGCTGTGAGAAATGCTGAAATGGCGTGGCCAGAATTTAATTTTGGATGCCATCCAAACTTGCTCATACACGCACGGGACTGTGCGGACCAAGGCTAGAGGTTTATGCATCCCATGACACTACAGAGGCTAACGACTAACCAGTGTGCATATAAGCTGGTTAAAATGAGTCACCATCACCAACCACGACTAATCCTGCTTGATGAAGTGCCAAGTGACTTGCAGCAGATGACTCTTCGAGAAATAAACGGCGCCCGCACAGCATGTAGTTCCTTTTTTGTTTTGTTTGGGATTTTGCCCCGTTTGCAATTAAAAAAAGAAAGGAAGGAAGAAAAAGAAATCACGTTTTGCGTGTATACAATATTTCTCAGATTGTATTCGTGTCTAGTAAATCAAATTAAGGTAAAAACCTCTATGAAGCCCTGAAACGCGACCCGGTACTGCTTAAGAGCTGCCAGAAACCAGGTTTTGCATTTGTCTAGTGTCTTGGATTTCGAGTGGTCACAGAAACCTATAAACTTCTACAATGACTCAAAACAATAAGGTTGGCAAACACAGTCAATGGCATGGATCAGTTTCCTGCGAGGCCCCACAGCATTGGCACCCATATCCTTGAGCTTTTTCATGGTTAGATTTACCAATTGATACTTATTTAGACTCTTCCCCTGAAAAATTCTCACAAACTGCCCCAGCCCAAGTGACGTCAGCCACTTGCTCAACCCACCAGCTCTTTCAAGCTTTCTCTCTAGATTTGATGCCCGCAGACCTTGATTTAGAGTTGTGCCCAGGTTTGGGAACCTCCTCGGTGCAAGTAATACTCTTGGCTGCTTTATAGCTTTTGATGCCCTAGAGATCCCAAGTAATTTGGGCGACTTTAAATTACTGACCTGCGGTGGAATTTCTGATTCTACTCTTCGATTTATCCTTGCATTCGTGGCTGAAGTTGGATAAGGTAGAGGAGGAGCTTTTCTAGCTACCCGAATCTCCTCTTGGGCAGCCAATGGAGAGGTCGTCTCTTGTTCATTAACTGAGGGAAGTAGTGGAGGCGTCCCCATTTGAAGTTGAAAGTTGCTGCTTGCTATGTTGGACGGCCCATGGGTAGCTGTTATAGATATTGTGGTGGGAAGAGGAGCACAAGGGATCAGAATGGTAACTCGCTGCTTTTTTACAATGACCCAACCATCTTTGTCATGCTGTTGATCAGCCTCTGAAGTGTCATTGTCAATAAGGCAGGACGGAGTACCACTATTCCTGCCAGCAACAGTTCCTGGGTGTCTTAGCTTTGTTTTCACCATGAGCTTAGGACCTGCTTGTCATACACTTGGTTATAGCGCAAAAGCCACTAGATCAACTAAATTTTCATTTGATCAAAAGCTCAAAACCAAAATAAAAAAAAGATCAGCATGTTGTTGAAAGTACATGATGCAGTTTACTCTGTCTCTAAGCAACAACAGTCACAAACCAAATAACAGTATTTCACAAGTACATAACAAGGGTTGCCTGAGATCAAAGGCCTTGGAGTTAAGTGCAAAATTCATGTTTTGGAACTCAATTAAGATGAAATGAATAAGAACCCAGCACATAAGATGCAGATGGAACAAAAATCTACAAAGACAATACTAGTCAAATTCCTTTTTAAAAACAATGGTTGACGTAACAATGTTCTCAGATCAACCTCAAAATTTGGCGGTTCCCCGGCGGCCTAAAGCACCGAAAAGATAAAAGAGAAGTAGAAGCAACAAAATGAAAAAGAGCTTCATTTTCTATATGATGGTGTACATAACACTTAAGCTGATTAAAGTATTGGGGTGCTACATTCATGAATTCTCTGTAAATCAGTGTGTTTGCCATATAACTCTCTCATCTCATGTAATAATTCATTAAACTCCTCAAATTAAGATTCAGAGCTCCGAAACAGTTCTCTCCTAAGGAAAAACGCCATTTGACGTAGCAACTAGCAATCCATCTCTCATTGCATTCCTAAGCAGCTGAGGAACTCCAGTAGCCTACTCTTCCGAATTTCTAGCTTAACTGGTGGACGACAGTCTCTTAAATTTGGTGGACTCTGAAATAAGTGCAGAAGTGGGCAGTAAAACATATTCGAACCTACTTCTGTAAGCTAGTCGAGAATCTAATCCAAAGGTATTAAAGAGTATTTAGTGGAAAAGCAACACAGAACTACCTACAGCAGAGAAGCGTGCTCAAGCATATTACATTTGTACTCCAATTTTCTGTACAGGCCATTCTATGGAATTCTCAATAGAATCTCCAAGAGGATCTTATTTTAGCTTATCTGTGATGGTATTCATATATATATATATATATATAATTATCGTGCTTAAGGGGATCCAGTGATTTTACCAGCAACATTTTTAGGTAGAACCAAAAATAACATACGTGTATGTGTGTGTGTGTGTGTGTGTGTATCCCACTAGGATCAAAATTACCACTTGATTACACTAGATTAAACACTAAACATCATTAAAATAAGACAAGCCTCTAGACTATATGAAAAAGAGACCCACGAAAATAAGCAAAAGGTGAATTAAATGCCCTAATAGAAACTTTTATGTCTTGTAATGTTTTAGAGCTTCCCTTCAAATCAGACATAAACTCAACTTAAAACATCATCCAACCACAAACTATTTTCACAAAATTCAACTGCAAAACATTATCCCTGACCTTATCCTTAACATGATGAAAACCGTTAAACTCCAAATATAAGCATAAGCAACATTTGATGCCTCCAAGGATAGCACCAGAACATTATGCTTTACCTTATCTTTAAATACTGTGAGCTGCTGGTCAATAAAAAGATGTCCAAAGCCCAAGCTAGTTTCTTCTTTTCTAACTTGATGAGAATTACTAGGCTTTAAACAAATTAGATCCTAAACCAAATTTTCTGATTTTAAAATTGATTATTTCCTCACAACCAACAAATCCAGACGTCTTTTAAGGTTATCATCATCCTTAAACAACCGAACTAACATGGAATCAACGACTTAGAAAAGAAATTTCACCAATCTAACCTTTCAGCCTAATTGTATTTTAAAACATATGCAACAGAAATGGACTCGCATTTTTCTAGTCTTACCAATTTGTAAATCATGATAATCTAGAGTAACTATAATCCAAAATAGGATACGGAATAACACAGAAAACACTGCAACAAATAGTTCCACACAATTTCGAGTCCTACATAAATGTGAATAAGTCGCCGATATCACCACTGAAAAAGCCACTTGACTGGCCAAAAGAAAAATGGTTGCAGCAGCTATTTCACTGGAAAAAAAGTTTCCCAAAAATTAAAGAAAGCAAGATCACTTGCTCCGTTTAACATATTACCGCCAATGAATATTTTCAGCAATTAAGTCAGTGTGACGAATCATCTTCGAGATTCCAATCTAATTTATGCATTGGCCCTCAATATTGTCTCTAATTTATTTTTTTAGCTAAGAACATTGGTTTATAAAACGAAATCCAGACGTGAATAGAAAACCTTGTGCAATCAACAGCAAAGTTGGAGACATATTAAATGGTAATGAAATAAAGAAGGAACCTGGAGCTCTAAGGATAAGAACAGGGCAGCGTCAATCTCGATTTCGGCTATCGACCAGACTGACTTGGATCCTAGTCATGGATAAGCGCGCTTTCTCTGAGAGGCCGTGCCTAACCGGAAACTGATTATCGCGGGATGTCCCCCACCTTTTTTCCCAATCGTTGTGTCGAGTTGGCCGAAAGATATTGTCCGGGAGATTTTTTTTTTTTTTTTTTTAAAAGTGTTGGACGAAAGATAAAATCGTTCTGTCCTCAACATAATAAAATATATAATAAATCAGGACTCGGACTAAATAAATGACAACAATTTTATAAATAAGTTTTTTTGTGTAATTTTTAAATTTTTAAAATTTATTTTTATGATTTTTTCTAAATAAAATTATGCTATTCTTTTGTCACAAAAATAAGCTTGTGGCGAGCAACGGAACTTTCAATGGCTCATGGCCGATTGGCTTTAATCTGGTTATTTTAGGATCGACCCTCTCGAGCTTCCTCTGTACTTCCATAGCGGAAGCGAAAAGGAGTGAAGGGTCGAGGCTGACCTTATTGGGTTCCACCCCGGATAACTCTTTCCCTCCTTCTTCACGGTTTGCCCCTCTGTTGAACTGTTTTCGACAATGGCAAGTTTTTTCTACTGGTTTTCCCGCCTGCGCTCTTCGTCGAGGTGCTTATACGAAAATCTGAGAACCCCAAATTTTCATAACCTCAGGACCCAGAAAAATGCAGCCACTACAAATGTTATGGACTTCGAAAGAGCAAAGAAGCCACGGATGACATGGTCAAGCTCTGTGCTTCCTTTGGCTCTTGCGGTTTCTGCTGGATCACTTGCTTTACAACCCCAGTTCAATCCTTCATTATGTGACGCTCCTAGTTCCAATAGTCGGTGGGTTTTCCTTTCCGCTCACCATCCGTTTCAGCATGTCAGAAAGTATCTATTTTGATCGATCAGAGGCGATGGACTCTTTAAATACGTTTATGGACTAATAAGATGAAAAGATTATGCAAATCTAGCTAGTTATCCTCAGTGGAAATTAAGCTGGGGGAATTGGATGTGGCTAGGATTGAGTGCTATCTCTATATACTTTCTTTACTCTTTTCTCTTAACTCCTTATATTTTTCTACTATAAATCACAGTTTCAAGTGCTATCTGCTAGATGTGTTGGCATATTGTCACTGTTTATTCTTTCAAACTGTCGCCATGGCGCTCTAAGCCGCTAAATAACTTATTTGATAGCTTTGTTTCGTTTCATATTTTTTGCTGCAAATGAAGGATGCCTATTTGGGTTTATAACATGTTTTTCAGTGATAATACTAGCATGCATAAGCTCTAATCCTGCTATATTGCAACTAATTCTTGTGATAATTTTTGAAACTGTTAACCTTTTTTGGATCAAAATTGTCGCCACCCAATTGTAGTAATAATGAGCAAACGTGGAATCGCATGCATCAAAAAAGCAAGTGCTTGATAACGGTAGTGACATGGATTTGCCTATATGGATGATAGAAGTGCCAGCTTAAGCGGAAAAGGTAGCACTCAATTTGTGGTTGAGGGATCACACAAAGAAATTTCGCAGGATCTTCTCCAGGAGTTGAAAGCCATCTGTCAGGTGTGGGATTCTATTTAATTTAATACCTCGAAATGTCTAGATGAGTTGTACTGTGCAAATAGATTGGGTTTGAGACTTCAATCCTGTGGTTAATGGTCTGAGTGTTTTATAATTCTACAGGATTACATGACACTTGATTACGATGAGAGGTATATCCATGGAAAACCACAGAATAGCTTTCACAAAGCTGTTAACATACCTGATGTAATTGTTTATCCAAGGTGAGACTAACTGTTTACCATCAGTTGAGATTTTTATGGCCTCTGAAGTTTGCTTTTGGTATTGATTTATGCCTTATGAGTTAAGAAACAGTTTTCTCTTTGCTTTTTCAGTTGGAAGGTTGTTTGAAGATAGAAAGAACAGATAAAATCTAGTTGATCTGTTAGCTAAATGATTTTAGAGATAAATTAGTACTCAAAGTTTGCTTTCAGATCAATTGATTGTTTCATTTACATTTGGCCTCGGAATCCCTCAGAATTCCAATCATTTCCTTTGTGTGCACCCAGTGCTTGGTATTTAATATTATTGAGAGTTGATGTTATGACTTCTGTAGGGTCCATTAAAGTTTTACAAGAGAAATATTTTAGGGTCACTAATGCCAATGTGATATTTGATTTCTTATTTGTCATACTATTGATTTCAATTATGCATGTATTTTCTCTATAATTTTAACCAAAAGATAAAAAATCTTCCATACTTTATACAATATCAAGATTCAAGAATGGACATGAATAAGCCCTAGAAAGTTGTGGAAGTTATTGATTCGCTGGAGACATTCTTGGAGTTTATGGTAAGATCTGTACATCTTTTTCTCTCACGTGATAATACTAATCACATTTGCAGATCTGAAGAGGAGGTCTCCGAGATTGTTAAAGCATGTAACAATCATAAGGTTTGAGTGACTTCAACTTAACCCACAATTTGAACCATGTTTAAGCTTATTGGCTTGCCTTCTTGAATTCATACCATGAATTTTGTAGGCCTGACGAAGTCTATAGCCTTGATATATTTTTTGCATTCCTGCCCACTAAATTGCAATTTCCATGTTTCTTTACACCCCACAAACTTCATTTCTGTTCTTAGTTTAGCTTTGTGCCTGTTCATAGGTATATAATCTCGTTTTGATTATGTTACCCAGAAACTGCTGACTTAGATTTTCCTTTTATTTATAACAGGTTCCGATTGTGCCTTACGGTGGTGCTACATCAATTGAGGGTCACACCTTATCCCCTAATGGAGGGGTTTGCATTGACATGTCGTTAATGAAAGTATGTACCTGTTTATTTTCTATGATAGTGAAATATCTAAATATAGTTGTTTTAATTATTAAATCCATTTTTCTATGGAATTTGTTTGACATCTTTTAGTTATGATCCTTCTCTTTATATATATCTCAATAAATCTGGGATGTTATACTTCTAGGAGGATTAACATTTTTTCACTTGAGAAGGCTTATGTTTCAACTTGTTTGAGGATAAAGCATGCCATGTTTTTGGGCGACAAGGAGGCATCTTCTTGTTGATTTTGCAAAGGAATTGGGTGGCTCTTTTGAAAACTTGAGATGCTTTGGATTCTTTCTGGTTTTCTGGCTCATGATACTAATAAGTCCAAGCTGAAAAATGTTCTCAAGGTCCTATTGGAGAGGTGGACAGAAGAGTGAGGGACAACTTTAAAAAGATAGAATGGATTTCCCTTTCCCTTGTTTCATTGTAATAAATTAGTTGCTTTAGCTTGATTGCGTTAAAACATGCTTTCTTGCTTATCTGTGACCCTATAATTAGACTGATTCCAACATCATAAAAACTGAAGCCATTTTTTTCGCTTTCATTCCTCCCTTTCACAGTGAAGTGAATTAAATATGTTGTATGAGAAAGTGGTGCTAGGAAGCAGCTACACTCCTAATGATTGAAGCAGTTTCAGCAAGATTACCATTACAATATTTTGATTTATTAATGCTTGTACCAACATGTAGACAAAACATTTGCATGCACATATTCATAGTCGCAGCATAGGTACCATGAATACTAGTACATGTTGAGCATAAAAGACGAAACTTTCTGGAGATGTCATCTTTAGATTATAATTCCTGTTCAATTGATAGAGAGTGAAAGCATTGCATCTTGAAGACATGGATGTGGTTGTTGAGCCTGGAATTGGATGGATGGAGCTTAATGAGTACTTGGAACCTTATGGTCTATTTTTTCCACTTGATCCAGGTTAGTTGAATGCCATGGTAAGACGATTTGATATTGTTCCAATATTTGGGGGGAAAACTGAAAGAAAACAATATTTTCAATTGCCTATTCCTTGAATAGTGAAATTTGCTCCCGTTATCTGTAGGCCCTGGTGCAAGCATTGGAGGCATGTGTGCCACTCGCTGTTCTGGTTCATTGGCTGTCAGGTGGTCGCTTTCTTTTGCATCTATACAACTTCATTTGATGTTGATAAACGCTGTTGTGTTCTGGCTTTCTACTAGGCATACATCACAATTTCTATTAGGCTTTAGTCATCAATCTGTGCATTTGCATACTGTTGTCATTTAGCCTTTTGTAGCATTTGCTTAGACACTTAGATAACTTGCCGTTTCCTTTCTACCCATATACATGACCACACAAGAATAATACTTATTATGCATCTGATGGATCTAATCTTAATAAATAGTATACTAAGATGATTCTAGTTACTCATCTTAAGTTGTGATCATAAATAGATGTTGACTTGTTTGAATTTATAATTAAATTAACAAATACTGATAACTTATAAAACTGATCAATATTGGTTTTTATTTCTTGTATAATGTTTTGATACAATAAAATTAAACTAAAGATATATTAATTTAACTACGATGGGTTTGATCACAGTTTGATAACATTCAAACCAATGAGTCTTTAGATAGAGCTTCCATCGATTAAATTAGTGACTTCTTTTATATTACTTGGTATAACGATTCTCTTTTCTAATTTGTAGGTATGGAACTATGCGTGACAATGTCATCAGTCTCAAGGTCTGTCAATCTCAATCTTTGGCATCCAATGCATTGATGTAATGCTGTATTTATTATGCTATGCCTGTTCCAGGTAGTTCTTGCCAATGGAGATATAGTCAAGACAGCATCTCGTGCTAGGAAGAGTGCTGCTGGGTTTGTTTTATTCCATTTCTTTATTTGTTAACTTTGCTTCTATTTCCCCCCCACCTTACTGTGTTCCTCTTGAGACATAGGCAGAAGAAAGAATGTGAGTAAATGAGGATACAAGAAAGGGGGATATGAGCTGGTAAATGTTATGCTTAATACAGGATGATATAAACAAGAAAGGGGGGCAGTGCCAGGGTGTTGAATTCTGTGAAAGTCGAACTTATATTGGTAATGATCTAGAAAGTTCAATGACAGTGATAAGATAACCCTTGAAATAGATTAGCATGATTAGTTGTGCTCCTAGAAAAGGTTGCATGATTAGTTTTAATTGCAATGTGATATTAGTTGCTTCATGTTTTGTGACTCAAATATGCAATGAGATAGTGTTAATGATATTATATTATATATCTTAGGTATGATTTGACCCGCTTGATGATTGGAAGTGAAGGAACTCTTGGTGTAATAACAGAAGTAACACTGAGGCTTCAGAAAATTCCCCAGCATTCAGTGGTGTGTTGTTATTTTCTTTCGTTCATTGAATGTGTTATTTTCTCTCCAACTTTTCTCTGGTCAACTGAACTATATTTGCAATCAATTTATTGCACATGCGTTTGTCATTTTAATGTGATAGAGATTGAATATGAGTGGCATGTTAATTCTTGTGAAAATGCATCTTCTTGTAGCTTATGATCCTTGACATAATTAAGCGGAAATTGTGTCAGCCAAATTTTTGGCTTTGGTGGGTAGGTCACCTATTTCTGGTTCCTTTGTTGGTTTCAAGCAGCTCATCATACTTGGTTCAGCCTGTACCTTTAGGACAAGTCTACTCTTTTTCACTTGGTTATTCCTGTAAATAATTAAGTTATTTTCTTACTAACTCATGATATCATTTTTCGTCTTACCTATTAAACTTAACTTAGATTTACCCATCTTCATATCTGAAATCCTTGAAATGATTAAGTACAAGATGCCCTTCATCTATTTATCTGTGTCAAATATGTGCTCCTACATCCTAACAAGATAAAGTACAACATAACTTTGAAATTTTTTGGAGGCACATTCAACTATCAACATGCTATATTGGATAAGAAAGGGCTTATTATTTTTCATCTTAAATATCGATTCGTTCAAATTATCATTTTCTTATTTAATGTCTTCAGTTACTTCCTTTTGGTACCGTACAGAATTTTAATTATAGCTAAGTAAGATGCAAAATCTGTTTTTGGTGACCACTCCGTCCTTTTGAATAGAAGTGATCTAAAATACAGTTCTTTACCTTTACTGTGAATGGTATTTCCCTTTGATGATTTGGCTGAGGCAAATATTTCTCTAGAGAACTTGCTTATATGACTTCTACTTGCTGCTTGTTTTGAGTTGCTGCTGCACCCATGGACTGCCTAAGTTGTTGAACCACAGGTTGCAATGTGCAATTTCCCTTCTGTAAAGGATGCAGCAGATGTGGCTATTGCTACTATGATGTCGGGTATACAGGTGGGACTCTGATCTTAAATTTGGCCTCTTTATCAATTCAACCATAATTTTAGAGTTATTGCTGGTTAGGTTTCAAGGGTAGAGCTACTGGATGAGGTTCAAGTGAAAGCTATCAATATTGCTAATGGGAAGAATTTGCCTGAATCTCCGACATTAATGTTTGAATTTATAGGAACAGGTGAGAGATGATTTTGTTTTGCGCCTTTCTTTTCTTTAACCAACATTTACTGTATATATTTGTATATCGCCTGTATGCATTAGTTCACTGGAGAAAATCCGTGATCGATAAGCTCATCCCGGAAGTCAGAAATGAGAACAGAATAAAGAACATGAAAATCAAGGAATTTTTCTTTAGGCAATCTTATTTTTTTAGGTGCTGAATGAATTAATCTTCCTTCATGTGTAAAGTTTTATTGCTTGTTGATGATTTTGCTGATTATACAAGATTCACACAACAACTCAAACTGACATTAAATGGATAAGAAGCAAAAATAGGGTATATAAAATTAAATGAGGATGTAATATGCTCAACCACAAAATTCCATACGTAGGATGGGGAAGAAAGGAAATCTGGTTAGATGGGTCTGTTTATTTATTATATGTCATTATGAAAAAAATAAAGAAAGATAAATTTGATTATAAAATCACTTACATTTATTATTCTCATTGCTTTCAAAGATGGTATTGCCGTTTCTAATATATGCTTCTCTAGTTTCAAAGTAATTGATATACCTGACTAACTGTTGTATATTTTTCAGAGGCATATGCTCGTGAACAAACACAAATTGTTCAGAGAATTGTTTCTGAACACAGTGGCTCCGGTTTTGTATTTGCAGAAGAACCTGAAGCTAAAAAAGAACTCTGGAAGGTAGCATTTATTCCTTTATAATATTTTGCAATCCGCTCTTCCCAATCTGATTTTGTTCTGCGAACACTTGTTGTTGGCCTTGTTCCTTTTAACTTACGCTACAAACTATAGGTGGTTAGTGTTTAGAATGTGGTTTATGATGGATGAATAACATGTTCTAATCTTGGAAGTATGTCACTTTTGATGCCTGTTTTGCTTTTCCTTTTGAGTTCGGTGAGTATCTCACACGCTTTGGGTGGGGCACCAACATTGCCTGGGGTACAGAGGTCACCCTTAAGAATGTTTGCAGATGCCAGATTCAAGCGCTTAACACTGTAGAGGGCCCTCAACTGTTCAGTTCAAGCTTGCTTACCACTTGAGCCAATTCTTGCGGGTTGAGGCCTACTTTCTTTGTGCATGTTAGATGCTGCTGTCTCTAGCTCTTCTTAACCAAAAATTAAACTTATACTCGAGATTCTTGCTTTGTAAGAAGAAAAAAAAAAATTTGGGGCCTAGGCGACTGCTTAGCCACATGTTTTAAAAATAAATAAAACTTGAGTAATTTGATTATCTTTCTTGTAATTGAAATCGATCGAGTTACCAACTTTTCCTCCCTTTTTGTTATTAGGAAGAAAATCACAAAATGAAGTATTGGAAATCTCATTATAGCGGTCAACTACAAATTATAGTATAGATCGTCCATGGCTAAAAATATAAGATTCTGGTTGGCTTCTTTTTTAAGTTACCTCATTGCAACTCCAATTTTTAGTTTTCTTTTAGGCTTGTAACTTCTATATTCAGGTTAATTTCTTCTTTATGTGCAGATAAGGAAGGAAGCTCTCTGGGCATGCTTTGCGATGAAGCCTGATTTGGAGGCAATGATTTCGGTTAGTTTTGAAATTTAATATTTCAGTCTCTGATATGTTGGTTTTGTCCAGATGTTCTCAAGTGACGTACTGAATTTTGAGGAAACAACTAAAAATTGTCATCTAATCCTAATAAATGCATTTGAATCCATATTTTATAATTATCCACGTCTACCTTATTCAATTTGGATTTTATAGTGCATATACATGTCGATGATAAACAAATAGAATGAGAAAATGGAATTTATATTTGAGTCTTAAATGTCTGCCCTTGTTGCACCCAAGATCGAAACAATTTAAAGAATATCTGCAAAGGCTTGAAAAAGTAGCATGTGAAGCAATAACTTTTGCTTTGCCTGACTTTTAAATGGGTATCTTGATGTGGTTGGACTAGCTGCACTTTCCCATATAATTTGAGTTCTAATTGTAATTGATTTGCCTTTGCTTTGAGGATGTCTGAGGACAGTATTCCCTGGCTTTTTAATGTTAACTTCTGCAGGACGTATGTGTGCCTCTGTCTCACCTTGCAGATTTAATTTCAAGGTCCAAAAAGGAGCTGGATACTTCTTCACTGGTTTGGTATGTCTGATCAGGGTATTTTTGTTCTGCATATTGAACTTGGTTTGAATTTTAAGATCCCTGTTGTTGGATGGTGACGAATGATCAATTTAACTTATGCTCATAATGCATATTCCGTTTGTTGCTGTCTTATTGCCAGCACTGTGATTGCCCATGCGGGTGATGGTAATTTCCACACAGTTATTCTATTTGACCCCACCCAAGAAGAACAACGGCAGGAGGCAGAGAGGCTGAACCAGTTTATGGTTCATGCTGCCTTGTCATTGGAAGGTACAGTTCATCTTGAGTAACGCTCTGCATGGAATAAAACTTAATGAAATATACTGTTAATGTGCCGAATTGAGATTTCCTGGTTAATGGCTTATCCGAAGAATTGGTTTCTAGTAGTGATCTATATAATATGGTTGGAGAAGGTTTTTGTTGTTGTTGTTTATGCTGTTACGGTGATGCTCCTTGTTCTCTGGACTAATGCGCGGCTTGATGTATCCATATGTTTTTTGGTACTATGCTTAGAAATCTAAGTTTACAATATGTTGCTTTCTCTAATCCTTTGTTGATGCACTGTCCTGAAAGAGAATTGTTTTTTTGCGAATTGGATCAGGAACTTGTACTGGTGAACATGGAGTTGGCACTGGGAAAATGAAGGTACTTTGTTAATATTTTTAATTTTTTATTTCCAGATGATCATAGTTACTCGTGCATTTCTCCAATGATTCATTGGCAATTGTAACATGGCTAGCCAGCAGCATTAAAAGTAGGTATAAGAGAAGGTATATTTAGATTTTAGAACACCATAAAATCTAACGCACGGAGAAGACATAGGCATTTTGAGTTGCTTATTATTCTTTTTCTTTTAGAAAAGTTAGCTTGTGAAGGTTGGCGACAGGCCGTAGTTGAATTGAGGGGGGGGGGGGGGGAATTTAAATAGTACTTCATTGTGAAGTTTGTATGATGCCTTTACATGAAATTTTACCCTTTTGGTAATTAAATCCTCATCGCGATTGCTTTGTTAAGTACCTCGAAGAAGAACTGGGAGTGGAAGCATTGAAGACGATGAAAAAAATAAAGGCAGTGTTCGATCCCAACAATATCATGAATCCTGGGAAGCTCATTCCTCCCCATGTTTGTTTGTAAAGGCAACTTCGCTCCATTGTTGGCCCATGAAATGTGAGAGCCATGAAGCAGAATGATGCTTGTCGTTGCAGTGTCTACCTTTCTTCAGAATCTGCCTTGTATTATCCGAAAGAAGACATCTGTACCACACAAAGTCAGTTCACAGAAATGTCTCAGGCCATTGCAGATTTTCTGGCCTCTTCCGGTCTATGAACCTAAATAAGGTGACTTTCTTTTTGTTGTCTGGATAATATATTCACCCCTTAATTGTCGAGACTACCATCTTCTCAGGTTGATATTACTGTCAATTGGATGCAGTGTATAGATTATATATGTATATTTTTCTCTTCAGCAAAATAGATGATGTTTTGCACAAGGGATTTTTTTTTTTTTTGGGGGGGGGGTGTTTAATCGAACTTGAAACTTTGCTGATGAAGATGGGAAGAGTAAGAACGGGTGGAATTGGCTACTGAATGAAAACAAGCTATGAAAAGTAGTGAGATGACTCATTTTTGTGAGTAAAAGAAAGAATGGGCGTTTCTGGAAGTAACTGGGGACCAAGCATCGAAGTGACACCAATCCTCAGTGATGACGACGAGAGTGACCTCCATTGTTAATTGGGGAGTGCTGTGCTGTTAGGATGTGCACAAATGAAACCATGTTCAGCGATGTTCCCTTCATCAACCGTCCTTTTCTTCCTCTGTCTTCTTCTTCTTTCCTTCTCTAATTCCGACAACATTCTCTTTCCTGTTCCCTTTCCACACAGTTACTTCCTCAAAATTGAAACCATAATAAAATAGAAGTATTATTTACTCATGAATATCAAAGGAGATAATTGTGCAACAGAAGTGGTTCAAGTATGGTTGGAGGAAACACCATTGATAAGACTCGTTTTTTCGAGCTCATTCTAGCAGATACAAAAAGTCTCGCCCCCTATAAGACTAATTTAGGTAGTAAAAATAAGGTGAGCTCCATATAGTCCTGGCATGAATTTTAACTCTTTTTGTGCGATAAAAAAAAAAGTCTCAACCCAAGATCATTTCAATTCTAATGATAAAAGTCCTGGCATGAATTTTAACTCAGTGGGGATGTAAATTATATAAAATGTTAAAAAAAAAACCCTAGAAATATGTATATTCGAGTCTAGATTTAGTAGGTTCAAAATTGCAAGAGCAGCGGTGATGAAATTTCAAAATTTATCATTCTCACTTGCAAATTTCACACCCTCAACTCTATACTTGTATCTGTCTCTCTTTAATTTGGAAAGGGAAAAAAAAAAAAAGGTTCGTTGATGCAATGATGAAATTAAACTGAATCAACAAACGCAACGCGGTGATGAACATTGAACGGGAAGATAAACACGAGAGCACGATAGAGCTAAAGAAGGGTATGTGAGAGATTTGATTTTGCTTCTTCACTAATCCTCCGTTCAGATCCAACATCAACACAAAATCTGCTTTTTATATTATCACTTGTTTAACTATGCAACGCCAAAACGACAAAATGCAATTCTCTATATTGGCTTCTATATGATTTACATATGTGTATATATATTTTTTCCGTTCTAAATATAAGACTTTTTTCGTAGTATAATTTACAATACAAAATGGGTCTTATATTTAAAACCGAAAGAGTATATATAATTCAGATGAAACATCAGCCATACGATAAAATTCTCCACTCACGCTTTTAAACTTCGTCATCGAACATCCATCGCATGCTCATGAACATGATTAGGATTATGATTAGCCTCGTCTAAAGATCTCAGATTTAAACCCTAAGCCACCCGATTAATTATGTTAATCTATATTCATGTGGGTACCAAACAACACCGCAATTAAATGTAATCCACGTGTATACATCACTGCCATAATAATTTCGACACCTTTAATGATCCCCTTTTTCATTATTAAATATGTGAAAGTATTCGGTATATGTTAACATCGCTCAAAAGTTATACCAACAACGTTATCTGTTCCTTTTAATTATTATTTCTAGGCGTCTAAAGCTGAAAAAAGGGTGTGGGTTGATTTTTATTTTGGAAGCATATATATGCTAGATCGTAGTGTATGGTACTCCTAATGCGATATGGCGTGAGATTAGTGGCTTAACACGTCAGCAAGAAACCTAATTAATATGTAATTAAGCATATTGCTTACAATCAAAAATGAAAATGCACTGCCACTAGCCAAACATGGCTTTGCTCGTGGCACCACCACTATTACTAGTAGGACCAAGTCACCAACACATGAAACTGACGGTCATTCCAAGAAAACGACAAATATGCGTTCACATGTCCAAGATATTTCACACGGGAATTACCTTCTTCAGTTTTCTTTTTCGTTTTTTTTTTCTTTTTAATTTTTGGCTTTGTGATGGGGATTAATATTGCTGACTAAATATTTTAATGTTCATAGGTCGACACTACCTTATATGACATCCTAATTGTGTCACTGTTTGTCTTCTCTTGAAAACATCGAACAGGTCAAACACTGTCTTAAAGAACCCAAAGCAAAAAAATAAAAATAAAAACATGAGCAATTCCCATGATTTTTAACACTACCTTTTGTCTTTAATATAAAGTTTTGTTTGATTTTTATTTTGGTTCTAAATATAATATCTCAATCTACTCTGTTTTTTATATTTATTATTTTTTTTCAAAATAATTTTTCTAATAATGGTAGTTTTAGCCAATAAACTTAATTGGCGAAAATATTTTAGGAACAACAATACGTATTTATCACAAATAACTAACTTAACTTGTTTTTTTAATTTATTCGAATTAGTCAACTAACTTTGATATCTAAGACTAGAGGTAGTTCCCCTGTAACTACTTTTTAAGTTGTGATTTTTGCTTTGATATAATCTAGCAAGTTTTCAAAACAAAGTTATGCTTCCATTTTTTTGTTCGCCTAAAAAAACGAATAAAGAAGGAGAGAAAGAAAGAAAATATAAATCATCGTTATATTTTCAGTTTTTAATTTTCAGATCGCTATTTTTAGAAAGAGAAAGTACGTCTAGCGATGCATACTCGAATATATATAAAACTCGTATGTGAACAAAAAGTAATAAGTTGCATCATCCATTCAATGTTTAATTTACGTTATGAAGTCCTTATACAGACCTTCTCTTTTCCTAAAATCAGACAAATTCCAGAAAAAATAAATCAATTGCTCAAAAATTGAGCAAACAGTTGCATACGTCGATATAAATAATATAACATTAATTAGCCACCCATCCTATTTTTATATATCCCATAACAAATTAATTCGCTTTTCAGTTCTCATAAGTATACATTTACATTTTTCACGAAATCAATGTTAATGATTATAACTTCATAACGGGTCCTAATTAACACGGCTGTTTTTCTTTTTTTTTCAATAGCCAAGTCAAACCCCTTGATTATATTAAGTAACTAGATTGTATTTTTCCCCCCTAAATTTGCATATCACGTTTTTCAGCTAAATGCAGAAAATTCAAATTTAGACTGACCGTACTCCTCCGGTTCTTAATATAGAACCCAATTCTTGAGTTGGTTTTTGTCTTAAATATTAAACCCATTTTTCATATTTATCAATTTTCTCTAAATTATCCCTATCGATACTCCCTCAACCATAATCAAGTAGAAGAGAGAGAGAGGGTATTAAGAAAGATGATTATGGTATTTTAGAAAAAATGTGTCACTTTTCTTATAATTAACTAACTTACCTAACTTCCTTAATCTAATCAAATTATTTAAATACATCTTATATTAAGGATAGGATGAGTATTTTTTTTGGGGGGAGAAGGGGAAGAACAGGACGCGGAATGTGTGCGCGCGCGCGCGTGTTTTTTTGACTGACTTTATACTCCCATTATCTATTAACCACTTAATTGTATAACATTATTGGGGAGGATGACCATCATGCCGGTTCGGAAAAGAAAAAAAAGGAACGAGGATGGAAAGAGAAGAGAAGAAATTCTGAACCGACCATCACACACATACAGTGGTAAATGACTAATCAAGGGGTTGGCCTCCACATACATATAAATTGGCTGAATCTCTATTATCAGTATCTCTCAATTGTATAACACATCATTGCATAGGACGACAATCACGTACAATAGTTTTATCAAACGAAGATCTCATCCTAGATATTATGATTAAGGGAACAATATCCCTTGTTTCATGTTAATCGGAGATTTTAAAATTTGCTTGCTTGCGTTAGCTGATGTGGAAGACATCATATTTCAAGTATATAAATGAACTTTTCAAAATCCAAGACCATGTAACATTTATATATATAAATTCCATGAGCATGTCATACACATACAGTATACAATTTTTATTAAAAAAATAAATATAATAGATAAAATGAATTAATATCTCATATCTATGATTAAAATTAACTCCTTGATTAATTCTTATGTTTAGGACGGAATGAGCATGCATATTACCGATATAATTCTCCAAGATAACATAACCTACATCACGTACGATCCATAGCCACCCATTCCCAAAGCTCATCTGCGGAAGTTCACACAGTCAAAGAACAAAATAAAAAACAAACCAATTATGAAAGGACAAACCAATAGCCCCGCATGCATGTGCCCCTCCCACCACATATAGCAATCGTGAAATTACACAACCACCCCGGTCGGGTCATTCCCTCTCAGTTTTCCGTCAATTGATTCTCTATATATACATACTTATGTGAATCTTCTCTTCTCAAAGTGATCGAAAATTTACCAGTCAACTAAAACCCCTTGAAACCCATGGGTTCTCTTCCGCGTATAGTCGAGGATTGCATGGGTTTTCTCCAACTCTACAGCGACGGCTCCATTTACCGCAACAATGACATCAAATTCAAGGATTCTGTCGTTGAAGATCAACCTGTAATCTTCAAAGACTCTCTCTTTCACAAAAGTTTCGATCTTTATCTTCGAATTTTCAAACCCCAACCATCCTCTGGTTCTGAGATCACCAAAAGGCCTCTGGTAATGTTCTTCCACGGCGGAGGCTTCTGCTTTGGCTCGCGTACATGGCCCCACGTCCATAACTGCTGCGTCCGCCTCGCTTCCAGGCTCCGGGTGGTGGTGGCGGCGCCAGATTACCGACTGGCTCCTGAGCACCGGCTTCCAGCGGCGTTGGACGACGCCGTGGAGGCAGTGAGGTGGGTTCAGAGGGTGGCGTCGTCGACGGGGGAGGATTATGCATGGCTGAATGGTTACGTTGACTTTGACCGTGTGTTCATTGTGGGAGACTCGTCCGGGGGTAATATTGCTCATCATTTAGCGGTTCGGTTTGGATCCGAAGCAAGAGATTTGGATCCGATTCGCGTACGAGGTTATGTGCTATTGGCTCCATTTTTTGGGGGAGAGGCTAGAACCAACTCAGAGGAGGGTCCCCCTGAAGAGGTTTTGAGCATAGAAATGCTTGACAGGTAATATTTTTATTTTCATTTTGTTTGGCTTTACACAGATATTATTTCCGGTTCTAATTATAAAATCTTGTTTATAGTTCATAAACAAATTTTTATAGTTAAGACCAGAGATAGTAATAATTACTCTTAACTGTTACCTGCTTACAAACCCTCTCCATAGTCTTCTATAGCACAGTCTTATCATCTACTTTGTGATCATTTGCGTACCATATATGGTCTTCCACTGCATGTGTATACAGTCAAGGTCAATTTTTTATTTTACGTTTTTTATTAAGTTTTATTGCACTAAATGCGATCAATTTTGTGACTCCAAACAATTATTTTATAAAGACCCTAAACAATAATTTAAATACATTTACCCAGTCAGCTGTGTCGCAAGATCATGCGTGTATGCGCGCCTGTGTCTGTGTTTTTTACTTTTCTAATGAAGTACCTAAAACACGACAAACTCTCAGGCCAAAAAAAAAAAAAAACACTACAAACTCCGTATCTAGTACCATATCCTAAGATGTGTGTGCACGTATGTAATTTTCAAAGCATCACTTAAAATAGAAAAACTCATACTCCATATCTAGTAACATATTCCAAGAAATGAGAAAAGTACACCTGATGATTCTCCTTATTAATTATTGCGTTTTTAATTATTTAGTCTTAAAAAAATAAATTGAATAAATATGGACCACTTTATATATATATATACACACACACACACAAACACATGAGGAGGATGAGTTTTTTTTCTTTTTTTGGGTCAAAAATGATTGGAAATAGTGGCTACGTAGGTGAGGAAAGGGATACGAATTGAATGGGGTGGTGGAGGTGGTAGCTAGTGGAGGAGTATGGGTGCCTCTCATGAAAATCACTATATGTATGAAAATACCCACACATAATCTTGTGTCACTCATCACTTCACTTGTTTGTTTTCGTCCATATGAGATGAATATGACACAACCACGATTTGCCTTCCCCTTCACTCTCTAGACAATGATGGAAAATATCCACCCATTATAAAGCTCTCCTCGATCACTCACTCTAGCTACTACAACCTCGTAAAAAGGTAATTTCGATGTATCCTGTAAATTAACCCCCTTACTCTTAATTGTTAAGATTACTTACTTCCAAATTAATAGGAAAGCTCAAACACCCGGCCAGGCAAAATCTTCACATGATCCATGTTTCTGAACCTTAAACACATCAATAATATCTCTGTTTAAGAGAAATGTCTTGATCAGATTCTTTGTTTTGATACATTCATTAACCAACCCAACTAACCAACCTTCTTTAATTAATATAAATTGGGTAATTCCGAAATGACCACCTACGTCAAAGCAATTGACCCTCAACTCTCTCCTGACTTAAATTTTTTTTTTAAAAAAATATGAACCTAACTCTGAGCTAATAAGATTTTTGGATCTATACACATATTCTACTATGGAGAAGAACACTTGTCAGTTCCACGTTGGACCTCTGTATATTATGTCACCCTCGTGGTGCCACCACAATTGCCACGTCAACAAACGTCGACCAATTAAATATGGAGACGGGTAAACGCATCCGTCATTAGCTTTTTGGCTAGTTGTTTTTAAAAGGAATTTTGCTTTTGGGATTCCTATTATATTCCTTCTCACATCAATTGCTTTCGCAATTATTTTATTTCCCATTTTTATGGGTCAGGTCCTCCCCACAGCAAGTGGCCTTCCTGCTATTCTGCACATGATCTGGCTTTTGTGTCAGTATATGAACTTCAGATTACTGGTCTCTTGACTTAATTATATGATTTAATTTATTCCATCTCCAAAAGAAAAATGACAGTGCCACTTAACTTAAACCTAACTAAGTTAGACTATGGGGGTGTTTGGATAGAAACCAAATCATGGTTTCAGAAGTGCTTTTACGGTTTACGAAGTAAATATGTAGAGGAGTTTGTCTCGTTTTGCGAAAAAGTGCTTCTGAAACCATGGTTTTCATATTGCCAAACACTCCCTACATGGCAGATAAACATTTAAAATTTGAATAAAAGATTTGAATTCAAATTGCACGCGTCACTTCTCACTGTATGAATAAAGTAAAAGTAGGTACAACCGCCGCACATGCAAAATATTAAGAATAATTGAATCTTCCAATATCAACCCAGGCCACTAATAATGTTAGATTAAAGAATCATTTGTATTCTTTTTCTCAATTGAGGACGTGCCTAATCCAATAGCAAAGTGATTCTTTTCTCTTTTATGGTCGAAACCTTTTCTCTTTTCTTTATCCATTGTTTCCCCCCGCAAAATCCCACTAATATGTGGGAATAGATAATTGGATACAGTCAAACAGGATTTATGATATTGATAGTATGATATGTACACAGTGTTAATAATAATAATAGTATCTTTGCTTTTGGAACAGATTTTGGAGGCTTTCCATGCCTGTTGGAAAAAACAGAGACCATCCATTGGCTAATCCATTCGGACCTGAAAGTCCAGATCCGGCACAAGTGAAGCTCGACCCTATTTTGGTGATGGTAGGAGGAAGAGAATTACTGAAGGACAGGGCAAAAGATTATGCAGAAAAGCTAAAAGAACTGGGCAAGAATATCGAGTACGTTGAGTTTGAGGGAAGAGAACATGGCTTTTTCTCGCATGATTCTTACTCAGATGTTGCAGAAGAGGCCCTCCAAATCATTCAACGATTCCTGCTTCGAAATTCTGCTTAAAAATCTTTCAGCTTCTCACATGTCTATGATTATATATTGCTGATATATAATATATACGATTGCTTAGATTGGTGTCTCTGGAATTTTCAGTTTGGTCTGCATAGTAGTCTGTGAGAGTATGATTATTTGAGTGATGCTTGTAGCTTGTTTGTGGGTGTAACTGTATAAGCAAAGCTATATATAGTGAGAGTAAGATTATTATCTTTTGGCTTTGATTGCTGTTAATATATGTTAATATAAATGATAGCACTATATTATACCTTCGATTCTTAGTATAAAAACTGGTTTGACATTCAATTTGATCTTAAATATAATATATCAATTTACTTTGTCTTTTATATTTATTTATTTTTAAAATAGTTTTTGTAGTACTCCTCCGATCCTTAATATAAGACTCATTTAACTAATTTGATTAGATTAAGAAAGTTAGATAAGCTAGTTAATTATAAGAAAAGTGACGCATTTTTCCTAAAATACCATAACCATCTTTTTTAATACCCCCTCTCCCTCTTCTACTTGATTATGGTTGAGGGAGTATTCATAAGGATAATTTAGAAAAAAATAATAAATATGAAAAATGAGTCTTATATTTAGGACCAAAATCAACTCAAGAATTGGGTCCTACATTAAGGACCGGAGGAGTAGTTGTACTCCTCCGGTCCTAATTATAAGACCCAATTGACTTATTTGAGGAGATTAAGGAAGTAAGTTAAATTGGTTATTATAATAAATAAGTGTTGTCATTCCTAAAATATCCTTGCTGATTAAGTATATTGGCTAAAACTATCATTATTAGAAGGATTATCTTGGAAAAAAATGCATAAATATAAGAGACAAAATGGATTGGGTCTTATAATTAGGACCAAATAAAAAGTCAAATTGGGTCTTATAATAAGGACCGGAGGAGTATATATTAAAAGTTTCATCAAATTATAATTCTAGTTAATACATAGATTAGTAAGAGTATTATATAAAAAAAAGATACCTAATTATTACAAATAACTAAGTTAACAAGTTTTTTAATATATTAAAATTAGTTAACTAAATTTTATATTAAATACTGAAAGTACTGTTATCTTATTATGCCTGCAGTAACCCGCGAGACATGGGATGATGGACAAGACAGGTATTAAGGTTCTTGAGTTGGGTCCAATCATTTGTCAGTATGACTGAAGGGAAGCTCGTGCATATTAACTATATGTTGAAAACCCTTTGAATGTGGACTAAAATGATCTTGTCAGTTGTGATAAACATATATCGTGGTTACCTTGTATCATAAGCTTATGTTAATTAATCATAGCTCAACCACTGTTGTCAGCTAGTGAAAATTATTGTGCTTGATGTTGATTACATCACGCTTATGCTGTTCTTTCTTATCTATATTTTTTTTAATTTTAAATATAAGAATTAATTGTGAAATTAGATTTTGATTCTAAATATAAAATTTTAATTAATTTATTTCATTTATCATGTTTATTAATTTTTTATAAACTAATATATCTAATTTATAAATCAATATGTAATCCTATATTATATGGAGATATTTTAAGGAGATTATGTCTACCTTTTTAAAAATAATTTCTTAACATATTCAAATTAGTTAAATAACTCTTCTATTAAAAACCAAATGAGTATATTCAAGCATTAAAATTAAAGTGATTACTATTTTCAAAAAAAAAGATTACCTTCATAAAGATAGGTTTATATATTATACATATTATCGTTGGCAAAAAAATATATTATACATATTATCAAGTATTTTGGTTGTGAAATGAAAAGTGGTAGAAATGTTCATTTCAACAAATGAATAATCTGATCCAGAAAAAAATTTAAAAAACTCTCATATCTGTCTCGAGTGATTTATATTAAATATCTATCTTGCATAAAAATACTCAATGCTTTCCACATGGGCGAAAAATAGATTTTCCCCATAAACCTGCTATAACCTAATAATCACTATGTGACAAAATTTATATAAAAATATCCGAGATCGTAAGATATTATTGAAGCACGTCAATATTTTAATGCTTAATATAAAATATAATAACCCTCACGAGTTACATTACTGCAAACAAGATATTTATTTGTTAAATTTGGTGAACACATGGAACCAATATAATATCTAATTATAATATAATTTACCTCACATCTTACAAAAAAGAAAAGAGCATAAATTTAAGTCTAGCTACATGAAAACCTCATTAATTAATAAATAAGTCGCCGATAACTTCCTTTGAGGCCTGATTTGGTCGGGTGAATATAATTATTAGGGCACAAATCACCTGCGTTTTTTTATTGAAAATATAATTGGCCTCGAGATAGAGGGGGGAAAAAGGACGGACCACACGGACGCAGTCGTAAAATATGGATTGTCGTCATAATCTCTGTCTCAGGCGACTAATAAAATGATTTTTATTTGTAATAAATAACAAAGTGATTTTGCCCTACTCAAAATCATCTTATGACGATTTGGTGGGTCCGCATCTAGGATCCCTGGAATCGAATGTATAGCTGAGCCAAAATTACCTTCATTTTTATTCTTTTTGTACCAAAAGCCAAAACTACCTTCATTTCATAAGATTTAAATTCAGATTTCTATATATAAAATTTAGATCTAAATTATTTAAAATAAAATGATAAATTAAATTTAAAATAAAAATAAATGTACATTTGCTCTCCTGTTTTTTTTTTCCTGGTGTATGAATTTCTCATCACTTTACGGATCATTTACTCTAAGTTTATGCATATAGGATTAAAAAAATAAGAGAGAAAGGCTTCGTTTGGCAGAGTGGTGAAAATTTCCCATAAACCCATTTCACGTAAATCGAGACAAAACTCTTCTTACATATTTCTCTTGTATTTCATAAATCACTGTTGAAAAGCTGCTTATAAACTATTCTAAATGGGTCTAAAAAATAATAGATGAGAAAACTCTCGAAAACAATAAAAAAAAAAAAAGCGTTACCATTTAATCTTTCTCCCATTTTTAAATCCAAACGAATAAAAAAAGATTGTGAGCGACTTCTTTGTGAGACATCGTCAATTAGCTCCTGGGCCCAAGTCTGCTGATTATTTTCACTATGTACTGGAGCCATGATGAAACGAAAGAATTGACATATATTAACAGGAGTTGGGTCTAGTAACGTAACGAATCAAGATTCAAATATCTGATAGAAGAAGTGCCCATACTTAGTGCACCTTAAATAGGATTGCCTCTAATAGAATAATACATGTGCCTTAGCAAAAAGAAAGAACTGGCACGCGTACTTGACAAAATGTGACAGAAGAAGCTTTTCAAAACATATATGATGCTCCTGTAAAAACCTTGGATTTTATATCAAAAATAGATCAGGTTTGTTCTGAACACGATTTCCATTATGCGAAATGCAACTGACTATACTTGGACAGAGTTGAAAAATATAGTCGACAAACCCTGATGTTTACTAGATTGCCCAGGATTCTGGCATTGAAAAGATTCGATATTGGGGTCACAGCAAGTCAGCCAGGGTGATCAAAGAAAGTAAATATATATGATCCGACGTTTCATTGGATTTGTTGTTGTCTACCATTGATGACAGCAAGAGTCTTTTGTAAAATCATTTCATGGCCACTCAAACGATGATCGCAGACGCAAATCTTGGATTCTGCTAAAAAGCGTTGTCTAAGCAGGAGAAAGATAACATGAAGTACTGTAAAAGATCAAGGCTATAACAGAGTGGTACTCATGAAAACCTGGGAATTGTCGCGTCTCCTCTATACAGCCTGCTTCGACCGGAGAGCCTAGGTGGTCTTAATTGATGAGCCGCATGAAAAAAGTTTAGAACTTTATTAATATGATCATGCTAGCCTAGCCAGGTGCTCTATCCTAATTAGAATCCAGCATATAATATGGTTACAATTAGGCAACAGAGTTAGATTTCTCCTTCAACATCAAGAGATATTCCGCATTCTGAGTTTCTGACAGCCGGGGCCTGGACGGTGAAAACATGATGTTCATGGGCCCTTAAACTAATTTCCAAACATGGTGAAAATTAGTTCTTAGACACTCTATAATCGCAAGATTCTGGCCCAGTTGGGTCTCTCAGCATCCATGCTGCGGATTTGCTGACCAAAAGAAAAGATCCTGGCCTGGCAGGGAGCTTGGGAAGTGGGCTTCTTTGGTCCCATTGGGTTTTAGAATAGCTCGGTCCATGGGCTTCTGCCACTGTTATATAATGCTGAGAGACTCATGGGTCATTGCCATAGTTAAGCTAGAAATTAGTTCCGCGATACTGCTCACAAAGTTAGCTTTATGAGCATGATATGCAATGCAAATTCCACTTTTTCTTGTGCTTTCAGGAAGTAGGAAAAAGAGTGATAATGTCGGTTCAGCTTCGGCAGGCAGGTCTTTTTTTCTCTTGAGCCTTGTCTGGGTCGATCTTAATTGAAGCCACTTATATCAGCTGATTCCTTTAGGAGAGCTAAAGCCAATATCCAGAACTGCAGAAGTAGGGTCATAAAAGAATATAACGGACCATGCATGGTCATAATAATTATTAAAAAAAAAAAAAGAACAGGTTTCAATCATATGGATTCCAACCACATCTTTATGGAAAAGGGTTTCTGAGTCATGTTTAGCTTGCTGACTTTCCATAACATAGTGAGATTTGGATGGATTACAATAACACGAATTTGTTTCAGCACATAATTCTGCGTACCTTCAGTTCTTTACCATGGCCCTGCGGAAAATATATATCATATGCCTTTTAATTCAGAGCTGCATTATTTCAAGGATTCTCAGTATAAGCAGTGCATTTAAATAACACAAGCAGGTTGTGACCCTTCAGTATGTAGAGGGTTTTGAAGTCGGAAGTTAAAATGTTAATTAATCCCCCGAAATCAATCCACCAGTCACCAACTCGTTATCCAGAAGCTAAACATTGAATGCCCGGTTAACCTGCCCTTATCATCAAACCCCAGAGTAAACACTTCCGGGCCCAATCTACAAAAGCGAGAAACTTAAGCAAGAAAAAGCAAATGAAGCCCGCGACAAATGCTTGGTGCCAAACTGAGGTGACATGTTCAGGTAGGAACAAACTCTTAAAGCACAGAAATCAACAGTGATCGTGAAAAGTTACGGGTTGTTGGAATTTATTGGTTCTTTCTGTACCGACAAACTAAGCAGAGTATGTGCCTTTTATAACGCAAAAGATCACTGACACACATTAAACTCGAAGTCGAATTTTATGATTTATGATAGGGTTTTTCTTTGCCCTTATTCCGTCAGTAGGGTATACAACTATATATGGATGGAAAAGAGAAAAGATTTACGTATCTTTGGCATCTCATTTAATAAAGGAAGTTTTCAGCTTCGCAACGGCAACTCCGCTCTGTGCTTCAAATATCGGGTAGCCGTTGAGGAGCTTCACAGACAATATCCTTCACTTTTGTTTTTTGTCCACAAAAATACCCTTCACCTGAAAATCCACCTCTAGCGTCGTTTTGAAGCTGAGCAGGAAATTTGTTGAAAGCTTTGGATTTTTGGAATCCTCAACGGATATAACATCAACCTCACCTCCCCCCCCCCCCCCCCCAAAAAAAAAAAATCCAACCTGACCCCATTCATCGTCAATCATAGCCAACACGATTTTGCCCAAGTAAAGTGCAGCGTCCACGTGTAGATAAGGTCGAAACAAGTATATTCCACTGTCAATTCTCAATGTGCCTTAAAGTGGGCCCCCCAGCACAACTTCCCCCGATTTACGGGCTGCGACCTTTTTTGTTTTCTGTTTTTTAATAAAATTCTCTACCTGGTCTAGGGACGAGTGGAGGACTAGTCTTGAAAAGAAAAACAATATAAACCGTGCGATCTAGATCTACGTCACTGCATGCTCTCCACGCTAAGCCGCCAAACGACTCCAGGTGATTTTTTTTTTTTGGTTGGTAACAGAATATTTATCCTAGATACGTATGGGGAATACGATTTTCGTGAGGGAACGCGGATGACGGAAATGACAGTACCTGTAGGCTAGAATTTTTTTCTTAATTACAACAGCAGGCTAGATTTTACATCTCATGTAATTTACGGGAGAAAAATTAATAAAAGTTAAATATAAAATAAATATTAATTTAATAATTTTATAAAATGTAATAATATCTAAGACAATATGGATAATTGGTGGAATTAAATATTATTAATTGCGTAATGGCTCCGATATGGGACAATCAAGATTCAAGACCCCATCATGAATCATAAAGGGGTTGAAAAGAAAGCACACACCACGTATATTTTTTAGTTGAAAAATCATTCCAAATAATTGCCTTTACAGCTCGTATAATATCTTAATCTTTCAATCTTTTGCCGTTTTTTCTCATACCCCCTTACGAGTAGGCAAGGAGTTTTTTTTTTTGGGGGGGGGAGCAAAGCAAAATCTGACAAGGGAGTGAAAACTAATGAATAGTTATCTTATCTCTTTCGGGGTACGCTCAAACTAGGGGAACTAAGTGGATCATTTCACGGCCCCCCCATTAAAAATGGACAATCTGTTACTCAAACTAACTTTCCTTTTTCTAAAAGGTCAATAATATTGGTCCTGACAGGATCAAAATCTGACGTCATGATGCTCAAATAAATTTACCCAAATTCTTTTTTGATAAATAATTCATTAATTTTTATCCCTTAGAAGAAATGGAAAAGGAGTGATGTTTTGTTTAATAAATAAATAGAGAGAATAATATTGGTTCTTTACAACATTTAAAAACAATTACTTCCGGCTCTTAATATAAGAACTAGTTAACTAATTTGAATAGATTAAAAAAATTAGTTAAATTAGTTATTTATAATAAATAAGTATTGTTTTTTCTAAAATATTATTGCTAATAAAGTGTATTGGCTAGAAATATTATTATTAGAAGAACTACTTTAAAAAATATATAAGAGATAAAATAGATTAAGAGTTTATATTTAAAATCAAAATAAAAATTAAATAAATCTATATTTAAAAAAAGGTAAATATGATAATAAAAAATTAAAGCGTAAATCGCAGTAAGGCGGGACCAGAAAACAAAAGAATTAATTAAGGCGGTAAATAGTTGTAAAGTGGAATCGGAGAATGCAGCTGAGCCATCAAAAACGTCACCATTGCGGATGATGCAAAGTACAAACTACACATCGCCAGCCGTCCATCTCTCTTTCTCTCTGCGCCTCTGGGCGGAGGGAGCAATTGAAATTTGAGAGAAGCACTATTACGATTTCCGAGAAATATAAGCCCAGACGAACGTATACAAACAAACCTAACAACTCCGCAGAAAACAAACAAAATGAGACTCTAGGGTTTCCAAATCATCTTTATCTTTTATTTTTTTCACCTTCTATTTTCCCTCCCTCCGAACCCCGTTCCCGCTCGTGAATTCTTTCCTCACAAGAAAGCGGGGACGAATGTTTTGGTCTTTTTCTCCCTCTCTCTCCATTCGTTGCTGGTTGCTGGTGGCCTCTTCTTAATTTTGGTTCGGATCTTAAATCGAGGGCGAAATTTCCAGGAAAGTGACCTTCAATTTCTGTTTCGTACGTCCTCAGCGGGCGACTCTTGATTCCTTACAACTAGTTCTCTGAGGTTATTTTTTCTCATTAAACTTTTTTCTATTTCTGGCTTCTTTTGTTTTAAAATTTTCAGAATACTTTGCTTTAGACATATTCAACTTCGGCGAATTCATTTCTTGTTAAGCCTTGAGCTTTTGAGTCCAAAAAAAAAAAAAAGCCTTGAGCTTATTTTGAAGTCGAAAATGCTGGCGCTGACATTTATTCACTGGAATAATCTCGTTTCCTCCATGTTCGCGTTGTTAATTTGTTTTTTCATTTAGTTTTATGTCGTTATCTGTTCTATCTTGTAGGTTTGCCTGAGATTGTTTGGGCTGAGAGGGGCAACATCGAAGGATTTTGGGTTAGTGTGAGGGTAAGAGAATGCCTAATGGTAACATGAAGAGAAGAAGATGCTATAGCTCCCATGAAATCTACTGTTCTCCGATTTTTGATCTGTCGGACCTTTGGTGATTTTCTGTTTGTTGAAATTCGAATGTGACTTGTTTTATGGATTCAGAAGCAGTTCCATCTTCCACGAATTCAGTTAAATGTTGCAACTGCGACTGTAGTTGCTCGCTGGCAGCTGATTCTTCAGCAACCTGGCTTCGTACTGTTAAACGGAAGCTTGATGAGTTTGAAAGGGATGACCAATTCTCTATACCTGAGTTGGATTGCTTTTCAGTTGCACGGGTCCAAATCGACAATGAATGTGAAGCGTTACGTGAGACAGTTGCCAGGCAACAACAAGCAATACAAGATCTATGCGCTGAATTGGAGGAGGAAAGAAATGCTTCATCAACGGCAGCAAATGAGGCCATGTCTATGATATTGAGATTGCAGAGGGAGAAAGCAGAGATTGAAATGGAAGCTCGGCAATTCAAGCGTTTTGCAGAGGAGAAGACGTCGCATGACCAGGAGGAGCTTTTAGCATTGGAGGACTTGTTGTATAAGAGAGAACTGACAATACAGGCGCTTACATGTGAGGTTCAGGCTTATAAGCACAGGATGATGAGTTATGGCCTCACGGAATCAGTGGCAGCAGGTGAAGGGAACCTGAGCTTGGGGGAATGGGGTGATCAATATGAGCTCCCCACCTATGACTACCCTCCTTTAAAATGCAGTGAACATGCTGCCATGGATGCTGAGAATGATGACACAGATATTGAGAAATATGCATTTGGTGAAACTCCTGATCGATTGAGAAACTTGGAAAATAGAATCTCCCAAATAGAGAAAAGTTCTATTCATAATCAAGTGGATGGGGATTATATGGGGAAAACTATTCTAGAGAGGGAGGTAGTTGGACAATCTCCAAGGCGGAGTAGACATACAAGAAGGATATCCAACGACTCAAGTTCATTCATAGTGGATTCTCCCAAGAGCTTTAGGAAGATGGATTCTGTCTCACAGACAGATGACCCTTCCAATTTGAGAAGGGTAGATTATGCATCAGAAACTGGTGATGATATGGGCGATAGAGTTTATACTATTGACTCTGTTCATACGAGGACACCATACAAAGGTGTTTCAGAGTCCAAACATGGAGCTGTTTATGAAGATTATTCAACCGCTCCAATGGAGTCACTGAATCGTGCTGACTTTGAAGATCCAGACATAAAGAAGCTTTACATGAGACTTCAAGCTCTTGAGGCTGATAGGGAGTCAATGAGGCAAGCAATCATTTCAATGCGCACTGATAAAGCACAGGTTTTGCTACTTAAGGAAATAGCTCAACATTTGTGCAAAGGCATGTCACCACAAAGAAGAATGGCAGTAAGGAAGCCGCTTGTCGTTAGAAGTTTTTCATTCTTGTCAATTTTTAAGGTAAGAAAACAATATCAACATTACGCATGTGTTTTTACCATATTGTGGATTAGAAGTGATTTTCTTATGTGTCTTCATGTTTTATTCATTTTATTCAATTTGTAGGTGTTATTGTTTATTTCATTTGTCATTCATAATTTGTTTGCCTTTTAGTTGAGGTTTTCAAGGTTTTTTTTTTTTTTTGTGCTGGAAGTTTACGAAAAATCAGATTTCAATTTTCCAAATTTTTGAAAATTTCTCACAGGCAATTAGCAAGCGAATACATTAATTTTCTTAGTTTCTTTTCAAATATTGTTGTGGCTAACCTATCAAGTTAGTACATGAAACATTTTAATGAGTTCTTTAATGGCTAATGTTCCCCCTGGAAAATGATTGTTGTTTTATTATCAGGACAGAATTCTACCATGTTACTTATGCTCTTTTTTATCTCGTTTTGTATTCAGTGGATGATATCGTTGGTTTTGTGGAGAAAGAAAGCTGGTCAAAGCAAGTAAGTAGATATCTCCATAATAGCTTCGCATATATTGATTTATGATTTTGTCTGTAATGACTGAGCAGTCTATTGAGAACACTCAATGAGATTATTCAGAGGGACCTTTGGTTTACAATTTATCCAAAGATTTGGTTATTGATATAATACAATGCTGTTTTGTGATCCATGAAGCTGACTTGACCTAGTGGAATCGGGCTTGTGTGGTTGTTGTTGACTAATTAGTCTACTGAAGTTTGTGCCAAATTAGGAATGAATTGCAGCCATCTGAGCATGAGAACTTGTTTTGAAGAGAACACAATTTTAGAATATACACGGCCAATGCTCATAAAACATACAGCTTAGGTTTGGATATTTTTAAAATTATTGGAAAATATAGTTTTATTATGGTATAGAAGCTGTTGACATAAATTCTGTACTAGAACTTTTGAGATTCTATCCGAATTGGTGACTTCATATTGATACAATTACCTCAGGGCACAACCTTTTATATATATGCTCTCGCGGACTGGACAGCAATTAGATTGAGTTGGTGCATGATATTTTTGCAATTATTCTTATTCTTATTATTCTTGGGAACTACTTGCGCTGATATTTTTTGCGCGTAGTTGAGAGGGTGCCTTGAATAATTCATTGACCCGATATTATCCATCTTCCTAAATTTCTTTGAACAATAGGTATATGTTTGGGCTACCAGCCAATGGTGTGGGCTTACTAATGCTTTTGGACAAGAGACCCCGTGGGAGGCCATGGAGATGCGTCTCAGTCACCCAGTTGGGAGATTAGTTCTTGAATTTCCGTACTGGCTTGCAGAGGGTAAGCTCGGATGTGGGAATACCAAATTACCAATCGCAAACTGAATTTTAATCACACTACTACCACTCTGAGATTTCTCTCTCCTTTTCTTCCTGCCTGGGTCTCTTTCATGCTGAGAAAATGGTGTTCTGTGCATTTTTCTATTATTTCTTCTGTATGAATTGAATATGATTTGTTGGGTGATCGGTGGAACTTGCAATACGAGCGTACATACTCATGGTTTGTTTGAGAACGAAGCGCATGTCCTTTTACAGTTCTCCTGTACATCGCATTGTTTCAAGGTTCCTCTTTGTTGTACCATGCAGTTCAACTTCATATCTCCAGTTCCAACTTACCGCTGGTTTGATTGTGGGTTCTTGCCCAGCTCGTTTCTTTCTGTATTGATTATGTAAATTTGTATAATATCCATATTGTATATGCTATCAAGTATTAGTGACAATTTGTTGTTTACCGAGGGTCTGCCGTTTTTGTCTCAATTGAATTGGTGAATGGGGGAACAAGAAGTTGATCAAGACATATTTGACGAAAACGAATTTGCAGTTGCGCGCTGGCCCCATTTGCTTGAAGTCCACCAGTATTGACTTCACGGCGATGATGGAGAATTGCAGGCTTGCTTGAGGTATGCGTGCTCTGGATATGTATGATTGCCTTTGCCATGTTTATCCAAGGATCTTTATAGGATAATTCAGGAGAGGCATGCATGATTTTGGCTAATTTTAAAAATAAAAGGAGGGAGAGGGGTAGAGCAATAGGGCGATTTCATTGAAGAAGAAAACGGAGGAGGATTTTTTATTTTTCTTACAATTGTTCTATTAGAATTAAATTGGATTAATAATGGATTCGACTGATCATTGTAGAGCTTTTCTGGCCTTGCAGGCTGTGTACTTTGGTCCAGAGGTAGATGGGTACGACTGGGTTAATGGCAATGTAATTTGTCTGAATATATTCGTTAGCATATCAATATTGATATGCCAATATTAAAGGTTCTGGAAGTTGCATCGCTTACAAATCATAAATATCGTTTGTAAATTAATTTCTCTCTTTACTTAGCATAAGTTAAACAATATTTTATTGATTCTTTAAAGTTAAAATACTGTAAAAAAAATAATTTTTATCATTAATGTTGCAAAAAATTTTAAAATTTTTTCATCTCTGCCAATAAATTTCATATCTGTTTTGTTGAAAGTTTAAATATTAGTTATTCTTAATTTAAAATAATTATTATTTTATATAGATAAGGTTACGTCCGCCGCTCGTTTCGTTTCTTCTAATTATAGGAGAATTATGTGAATATGGTTTTGTTCTTGTATACAAGAATTAATCAGCTATTTTTAAAGTATTTATTCTAATCATGCCCTTATGAAAAAGTGATAACCTCATCATTAAATGAGTTAACTTGGTTAATTTTTGTGAGGGTCTTGTTTACTACCTCCAGTTTTTAAGGTGAGTTAGTTTGATTTTATTTTGATTTAGATATAAGATTTTAATCTAATTTGTCTTCTTGCATTTATCTATTTTATTTTAAGATAGTTTTTATAACAATGATAATTTTAGTTGATACAATTGATTAATAATGATATTTTAAAAAAGACAATGTATATATATTATAAATAACTAATTTAATTAGTTTTTTTAATTTATTTAAATTAATAATTAGTTTTTATATTAAAGACTGGAAAGAGTATTACACATTAATACTATTTTCTTTTTTAATTATAACATTTCCTTTGTAACACAAATGAGGTCTTATAAATTATAATTAGGGCCGGAGGCAGTATAACTGACTTAAACTGCCGCACTTGTGTTAAGAAAGCTCGTGTTTCTTTCTCTTTATTTGGCGTTCACATTTGTTTCTTATAGAAATTAACATGGGAGATACATGGAAAGGGAGTATTTTTCTTCTTTTGGCCAAAAAAGGGCGTTTTTTTTCCTGATATTAGAGAAATAGTTTAAATTTAAATTTTTAAGTTAGAGGACATTGAGATTTTGCAACCCGAAAAACAAGCGCGACGATAATTTTTTATTCCGAGATGATTGGTGGAAGCCTGGCTTCCCATAGCATCGTTCGTGACACAAGTTGGTTCCTCCGTTTTCTGGGGCTGAATTTAAATTAATTCTGAAGCAATTGCGAATTAATTCGTAAATAGAGGGAAGTTAGTGGAAAATGGCAGAGAATCACTGAATCGGAGGAACGAAAAGAGTTTTTCTTTTGAAAACATATGGGATTGGAGTAATAACGCCAATCGATTTAGCCTACTCACTCGGCCCTTTTTGTGTTTTGGCTGTAAAAACGAAATTTAGCTTTGTGACATGTTATGTTGCGTTTTTAAGAATAAATTATTATTAACTATTAAACTCTTTTAAAAGATGTATCGAATGTATCTTTTTTCTTAACTATCTGATGAAGCAAAAAATACCCAATTAACTTTCTTTAAATTAAAAGATGATTTACAACTATATTTATTTCTATCAAAATTACTTCTGTTCTCACATTCATATGGCATGATATTATTAAATATGTAATTGGTTAGTGTGAAAACAAGTCAGTGAACTTTTCAACATATGGATGAAAATTTCACAAGCTGCATAGTTAAATGGGAATTTCATATGACGCATATACCTTTTATTATCTGGTCATTATATCTTATTATCATAAAATTTATAGATTCCATTAAAGTTGTAAGATTATGCCTACATCATGTAACCTTCCTCTTATCTTTTATCTTCAATTCTCAACTGATCCTTTCGTTTCCTTCTCTATTCTATTTTTATAACAAGCTGAGCTTTCTTTTCTTTTAAATTCGCCCGCTTCCATTCGTCCCGCAAGTATGAATTATAGAAATACCCGCGCTAACAAAATCCGAAGTACTGACTGTGACTTCGTCTTGCTCCATCTCACTCGTTACCTTTCTGGCTGTCTCACTCGGGGTGACTCGGATGATCTACATGTCTTTAGAGTTTAGACGCTGCCGTTGCGGGCATTGGAAGCCGCATCTCCTCTGAGGCGGGACCAGAGAGGGGAGTAGCCCCCGCCATAAAAGCTCTCTCGCTTTGAATTGCTCAATTCTGATACAGCACCATGCTAACATGGACCAGTGCTCAACTTTGATTCTGTAGATTCTTAGCCCGCTGAAACATGAACCTCCGAAAATGACCGGTACTAGCAGTAGTTTGATCCTACAAACGCTGAGGCTTAAGAAACCCAAGCTTGTGCTTCTGGAATATTGCTCCAGTGTTCGTGATCTCAACATCATCCATGGTCATATGATAAGAACCCTTGCCTTCTTCGACGTATTTGTAGCCAGTCGTCTGATTGCGTTCTGTATAGACGCAACCATTGGAACAAGCTTGCTGGGTTATGCCGTTAGGGTCTTCTCCCAAATCCAGAACCCTAATCTCTTTATCTACAACGCGCTAATCCGTGGCTGCTCAGGCAGTGAGAATCCAGAAAATTCATTTCATTACTACATTCAAGCGCAGCGCGTAGGCATTCTTCCTGATAATTTAACTTTCCCATTTTTGGTGAAGTCATGTGCCCAGTTGGAGTCTGCGGCTATGGCCACTCAAGCGCATGGTCAAATCATTAAGCACGGGTTTGAAAACGATGTCTATGTGCAAAATTCTCTTGTTCATTTCTATTCAACAGTTGGGGAAGTTAAGGCGGCGAGCTGCATTTTCCATAGAATTCATCGATTTGACGTAATCTCCTGGACTTCGATGATCGCAGGTTATAACAGATGCGGGGATGTAGAATCTGCGCGCGAACTGTTTGATAGGATGCCGCAGAAAAGTTTGGTGACGTGGAGCACAATGATTGGTGGGTATGCTCGGAACAATCGTTTTGGTGAAGCAGTAGAATTATTTCAAGTTCTTCAGAAAGAAGGAGTGATGGCTAATGAAGTAGTGATGGTGAGTGTGATATCTTCATGTGCCCATTTAGGGGCTCTCGAAATAGGGGTGAAAGCCCATGAGTATGTGATAAGAAACAACTTGACTATGAATGTAATCTTGGGAACATCTATTGTTGACATGTATGGGAAATGTGGGAATATCGAGAAAGCTATTCAGGTTTTTGAGCAACTCCTGGAAAAGGACACACTATGTTGGACAGCTCTGATCGCTGGGCTAGCCATGCAAGGTCATGGCCAGACAGCCCTTCATTGTTTTTCTGAAATGGTGAAAGCAGGGTTTAAGCCAAGAGATATCACATTTACAGCAGTATTAGCAGCTTGCAGCCATGGGGGATTGGTAGAAAGAGGTTTTGAAATATTTGAAAGTATGAAGAGGGTTTACTGTATGGAACCAAGGTTGGAACACTACGGATGCATGGTTGACCTCCTCGGCCGGGCAGGGAAACTGGAGGAGGCAGAGAAATTTGTTCTTGAAATGCCAGTGAAGCCGAATGCTGCCGTATGGGGGGCATTGCTGGGAGCTTGCCGGATTCACAAAAATGTAGAACTTGGAGAAAGGGTGGGAAAGATTTTGATCCAGCTGCAACCAGAACACAGTGGATATTATGTGCTGCTTTCGAACATATATGCTCGCACTAACAAGTGGGAAAATGCCAGTATCGTGAGACGAATGATGAAGGATAGACGAATTAGAAAGCCACCTGGATTTAGTCTCATTGAGATGGATGGAAAGATTCATGAATTTACGGTTGGAGATAAATCACACCCAGATATGGAGCAGATAGAAAGAACGTGGGGAGATATACTCCAGAAAATAAGGTTAGCAGGGTATGTTGGAAGCACAGGTGATGCATTGTTTGACATAGACGAAGAGGAAAAGGAAGATGCACTCCACAGGCATAGTGAAAAATTGGCCATAGCATTTGGAATTCTGAAGACACAAGCTCGTATTCCAATTCGCATAGTGAAAAACTTGCGAGTCTGTGAAGATTGCCACACGGCTACGAAGTTCATCTCAAAGGTTTTCAAAGTAGACTTAATTGTCAGAGATCGAAACCGATTCCACCATTTTAAAGAAGGCTTGTGTTCCTGTATGGATTACTGGTAACGAGCGTTATGACATTTTTCCATTTGCAAAATACTCGCGCTTGGATTTGGATAATATATCTTCTGGAGGGGCTTCTCATTTCATGATTTCTGCAACCTGGTCAACTGAGTTGGAGTTTTTGAACTCTCTGACACATCTATGAATAAAACTCACTGGATTATTCGGGGTATGGGTGTCTTCATCAAACATCTCTTCAATTCCTCTGCCCGCGACTTTCAACAGGCACCCTTGAAGGGATTTTTTTTTGGGCGAAAGTACTCGGAAGGTTAAGTTTCAGCCTTCGCCATCTCTCCTTCCTCTGTTTTTGCGGAGGTTAAATACTAACTAGTCTCCATTTTGCCAGGTATAGAAGCAAAGAACACCGCAGCCGCTTTTGGCTTTGGAAGCTTGTACCTTATTTAAACGCTCCAGTCATTGTCTCTTAACACCTGTATTTTGTCCTCCGCCTTAGCTTCACATCCATGGCAGTTGTTCGTGTTGTCTGTTAACAATGAGAGGACACTTGGGGAGAGACTGATTTTGATTTATTTTTGTGTTTCATGATTTAGATCACAAGTTCTCTATATTAGCAGGGTGAAATTAGATTGGATATTGTGTGCATTTACCCCCGAGTTGAAAGAACAGGAACTAGGACGCCACCTTTGCATGAGTCTCACACCCAAGAGTATATTACATTAAGGGCTTCACACACAACACAACACTCTGTATGTATGTGTGTGTATATAATACGTATGTAACAGACACTACTCACTAAGGTATGAAATTAAGATTTTTGAAGCGCATGTTTGATTGAACGTAGCGTTGGAGCATTTCGTTCTAGAGGCAATGGAGATCCCTATAAGTCTATAACACCGGGAATGGTGGTTCCTATAATTTTTTTTCCAGAGGACAATCTAAACCTGGATTTCTTGGAAGGGAATACTACATCAACAAGTGTGTCAGTGTACATTGGGATTCTTAATGATCCTCGTCTTTGAAGCACATTATCCATCTCACTAGGTTGCAGTAACAAACAAATCAAGTTCTTAAAATGTAGTGAAATAATTACTTGAAAGAGAAGCAGAAACTTACTTCGTAGAACTACCCAAGGGAGATGGAGATTCATCCAAAGGTCTACAGCATTTGCCCTCTTCAACTGCTCTCCTTTCCAGGCGTGCACAGATGGTTTAGACGTGAGATTTCCCTCCACCAGAATTTGGCGACGGTTAACGTTGGCCGTAAAAACATGAACAAAAGGTTGGGAAAGTCAAATGAAATTTTTCTCCGATGCAGCTAACTCAAAATCATGATGGTGCTTCAAAAATGCTCTACAGGATGCAACAAGCTAATCGTTAATGGATCACGCAAGTAAGCCTTAACGTTAGACCGGATAATTCAATATAGAATGACACACGGTAAGCTCCAAGAAAAACATATCAAGTACGTATTAGTCTCTTCACTTGTATCCTTAATTTCTAAAATTCGCTTTTCGAACCAAGGTATGAAAGCATGATGGAAGTCGAAATGCACATGAATAGGATGAAAATTACTCAGTTCTGACTGTGTCTTTCTTTTAACCGTTGTGTCAGCGCCAACCGATGAGAGAGGGAAGATGAACAAGTTACGATATTTGCCATGCCACGGTCGAGATCCGCAATTGCTCATTCATCACTGATCAAAATACATTGTAAGATTTGTTTGAAGAGTAGACTTAGCAAGTGAGCTGCAATTGATTTCACACGAACACAATTTCATAATCAGAGAACGAGCAACATAAACCTCGGCATATACGAAATGAGGGGGAGAAATTGAGTCCACAGCCATTCATACTGTCAATATTATAATAAGCGCAAATAAATGGCGACTCAAGGGTTTGGGAAATTGATATGTGTGATCTAACCTCATAGAATGAGAAATTGCCCGAGAAAATCCGGAGTGCTCTATCCTATCAGTGTGCAGTGTGCACAGCGTCGTACCGATGGCGCATTCGAGTTAGATCGGAAGGAAAAGGGAACGCGACAAGGAGTGAAGCGTGAAGCTACTAGCGAGAGGCTAAGCTCAGGTGGGAAGCTGGCGATGAGGTTTATTGAAAGGGAATTTGATTGATTTCCCGCCTGTTTCTGACGCCGGTGGTTTCTACGGCCACGACCCCTTCACGGTTTTGGATTCTTTTCTCTATTTTTTACTTTTCTTTTTATGACGAAAATCGCAAGAAAAAACCGTAAAAATTATAAAATCACAAATTAAATTTTTGACAAAATACTAAATTTGTACTTTTAACCGATTTTTCATTCTTCGATAAAATAAAATAGACAAATATACTGGATGTAAAATAAATTCAGTTTTGGATTCTTAATTTTGATTTTTCACTTTAGAACAATATTCTCTAAAGAAATTTTTTTCATAATATTTTTATTAGATTAACTACCTGTAAAAAATATAAGATAAGCTTGTAATAATGTTATTTTTATATTTTTATTGATAAAGATACGCTTTTTTGGTAAATTGAATGAATTTTTCTAATAAACTTAACACTTTATTTTAACATCTGTATAGTACTCTTTCAGTGATTAACATGGGATCTAATTAATTAAAAAGTTAGTATTGATTCTATATGTAAGACCTATTTTATATGTTTATTAATTTTTTTCTCAAGTTAGTTTTATTGATATTTCCCAGCAATAATCAAATAAAAAAGAAAAAAGAGAGAATTAAAGAATATGATTAAGATATTTTAAAAAAATATCATATTAATTAATTTAACTAATGTTTTTAATTTAATCAAGTTATTTAATTAGATCTTATATTAAAGATCAAAGAATATATCACAATTATTTAAAACTATATTCAAAATGCAACCATCCCGTCTAACCTAAGGATAAGGTAACAATTTTTTATTTTCTGGTTAAAAAACATAACAACTTTTATTCAATGTAACAAATGTTTACACTTTTTTTTTCTCAACAGAAGATTTCAACGTATTGGACCTAGGAACCGGCCGTTTGGTGCCCTCTTCGCCTCCTCTGCCAAAAACGTTTTGAGGGTGAAAGAAGAGGCTCATCATTTTTTTCTTAAACTAATACCCATCACTGAAATATTTTTAAGTATATTCAACATTTCAAAATAATTTTTTAGTAAATTTAACATTCTAAAATATTTTTCTAATAGCACCCAACATCTAACAAATTGGATCTATAGTAATTTTTTTAGTAGTACCTGATAACATTCTTCACTTTGAAATATTTTTCAGTAAGATTAAGTATTCAAAAAAAAATTTTAGTGCATCCAACATAGCACCTAGTATTTGAAATTAATTTTTAGCGTATACAGTATCCTAGATTATTTTTTCCAGTAATAACAGTCAATATTTATTGGCAAAAAAAAAACACTTAATATTCAAAAATTAGTTTAAAATACCATGTGCTACTCAAAAAATATTATAAATCCAACTTGTTAGATACTAGTAACACTAAAATAATATTTTAAGATGTTAAATACACTTAAAATTTATTTTAGAATACTACATGCCATTAAAAAACTCATATATTGGTTTTTTGTTTAAAAAAAAAAGGTTAATTACTCTCCGTTGTTATACTTAAACATTAAAATGAGAGGGGGGGAAAGCCGGTCCGTTGGATTTGGGGTATGCATCCATATTGAAGGTCTTATGTGCTTATGTGCGCATTGGTGGCTAAGAAAGCGCAAGGCAGGCCCAAAAAAGGAGGCACATGATCTTCCATCAATAAGCACAAAGTCCAAACGCTTTCTTGGGATTTTTTTGTTTTTCTTTGTTTCTTCAGCTCTGATTCCCCCTTCCAATTTTATCGTGTGATTCCGAAGGGACATTCAACTCCTGCTTCTGATATCATGTCTTACATTGATAGTGATTGATAATAAAAATATTTAAAAGATCACCAGAATGAGAAACAGAGGAGTATAGATTGTTTTTTCTTTTGAAAAATGCATTGATTTTACCATTCATAGTATACAGAATCTGGCGAATTGTGTCATGGTGCAATTCAAGTTCCCAGAATCTATGCGGTTCCCTTCTTCGAAGCAGATTCAAATGACATGTACTGTTTCCCCATTTGAAGTTACAGCGTCACCGGAGAACGCGCTCAAGGCATAATTTTTTATGGGAAATAATTGTGTTGGACCAAACCTTGGCGGGAATGGCTTCTTGCAATCTGTTTCGGCAGCTGTTTGGCGAGACCGCCCTCCGGCAGGCAGGCTACCTCCACCGGATGCGGCCACCACCGATAAAACTCCGGCAAATGCAGGTACTGATACCTCCAAAGATTCCGCCTCTCCTAATGGTTCTGATCCTTCGGGCTCAGGTCAGAGTAGGCCACCTGAAACGGTGAAGGTTGCCGACGTCGAACCGAAACCACGGAAGCCTGAAAGTCCTAGCGCTGATGCCGCGAAAAGTGACAAACGCACTCACGTTAAAAGGGCATCCAGTGTAGGACGTCAAATTGAATCGGTGCTGGGAAGAGAAACTCTAAACTTGAAGGATGTGTACAGCCTGGGGCGGAAACTAGGACAAGGGCAATTTGGGACGACACTCTTTTGTATAGAGAAGACTACTGGAAAAGAGTTCGCTTGTAAAACGATCGCCAAGAGAAAATTGACAACACTTGAGGACGTGGAAGACGTTCGAAGGGAGATTCAGATAATGCACCATTTGGCTGGTCACCCCAACGTGATAGAAATATTTGGTGCTTATGAGGACGCCGTTGCCGTCAATCTTGTCATGGAATTTTGTTCTGGTGGGGAGCTTTTTGATAGGATCATACAGAGAGGACACTACACCGAGAGAAAGGCGGCTCAGCTCGCAAGGGTAATGGTCCAGGTTGTGGAGGCCTTCCATGCTCTAGGTGTCATGCATCGAGACTTGAAGCCGGAGAATTTTCTGTTCGCTAGCCAGGAAGAAGATTCACTTCTCAAGACAATAGATTTTGGGCTTTCTGTGTTCTTCCAGCCGGGTATATTCATAACTAGACTGAGTTGGATTATAAACAGTCTTGCTTCATGTATATTTAAGATGATTATTACAGCCGTAAGTAGCATTGACCTGACTCACAATTATTCAGAATGCAGATTGTTACATTTTGCATCTGTTTATCATATCTGTTGGCTTCGATTATCTATGTTTCTAGACTCATCCCATGTCGCTGTTCAGTAGGAAATGATTAGCTGGTTCATGAAACTAAATTTTCTGTGTTGATCTAGTCTTTTAGTTCCTCGAGTAAACTATGAACAAAAACCTTTCAGGGCCATTTGTCGTCAGACATGCCAAGTTCTCCTCTTATCGTTTAAATATTGGTCAAATTAAGTAAAAGTCTTTATGTTACAATGCGTAGGTATAAAAAGAAAAAGAAAAGAATGTTAGATGGTTTCTTTTCCCATTTGTTTTCTCAACTATCTCCTCCACGTTCCGTGTTAAAATCTATCTTTGCATTCGAGTAATTCCCTGTGGAAAATTGCAAATTAATTTATGTCTCATTCAAAATTTTCAAGCAGCCATTGTTAATTGGTTTCTTGACTAGTTTATTTTGAGTTGACTGTAAAGAAGATTCCCCCGTACCCCTAGATGCAACAGGAGTCAACGTACCCAAAGAGAATCTATTTGTTGTTAGCAGGAGCGATTAGTGTAAATTCCACAGGTAGAAAGAGAAATTGATGGCCTGCTAACTATGTGGGTTAGATATCAAATGTGTGAGCACAATGCAGGGTTCAATCACCCAAGTTGCAGACAACAATTGTAATCAATATCCTTCCAATAATGTTATCGCTGAGTCTTAAAACCTGGACTGATTATGCTACATGACCTGAGGTCGATAGCAGATTACCTGTGTGCTGCATGCAGTCTGTGTACCATTGTCTTTAAGCATGTTGACACTTGAGCTCTTGCAGTTTACTGGACTTATTAAAACTTTTTATTTTAAAACTGGGAAAAATATTTATCCTTTCAGGTCAGAAATTCACTGATGTAGTTGGCAGCCCATATTATGTGGCCCCTGAAGTTCTGCTGAAGCACTATGGACAAGAGTGTGAGCGTTGGGGTGATCATTTATATATTACTATGTGGAGTTCCCCCATTTTGGGATGGTGAGAAATATATAACATCTGACTTTGTCGTGTCAATTCCTTTGTAATATCTATTTGTGTTTGAGGTGTATATGAATTAAATGAAATTTTCTGATATCTTTTGTTATGGATCAGAGACTGAGGAAGGAATTTTTGAGCAAGTTTTAAGAGGAGAACTTGACTTTATCTCTGAACCATGGCCTAGCATATCTGAGAGTGCAAAGGATCTTGTCCGTAGAATGCTAATAAGGGACCCTGATAAGAGGATGACAGCACATGAAGTTCTTTGTACGTATGCATGTTGTTCTGTTACATGATTTGTCTTCCTTGCAGCCTTGGAAAGTAAACACTCTCCCCTTGTTTAAATTTCATGTCATGTCAAAGACTTTCTTACGATGCTGGATATCTTGATTTAAAAACCTCACATGA